AGGCCCCTACAGCGACTATGCTCTTCTCCGTTGCTAGGAGGGACTTCTCGAGGTCAACAGTGAGAGTGGTGGGACAGACTGAGAGGAAGTGGTCCCTTACTACGCGAAGGGAGTCAGGGAGGCGAGTGACTATGTAGTAGAGAGTGATGTACATGGGGGGGGGGGTTCTTGGCGCAGAAGTCAGCAGGAAGCGCAGCGCGGTAGCGAGTGTCACTAGTGCGGAGGTGCGTAATGAGGTCAGCGACTGTGGGAAAGGCAGCAAGGTCAGGGAAGAGGTACGGTAGCATGAGACGGCTCAGTGCAGCAGTGGCAGGGGAGGAGTAGCGTGCAACTACAGCGTTGTACAAGGTCTGAGCACTCTTGTACTAACTAAAGTGCGCACGCTCAGAGGTAGGGAGGTGGCGACGCACAGCAAGACGTGCAGCAGCATCGCGCGTGGCCCACTGTGAGCGAACAGTGGCGTTAGCATCAGCAGCAAGAGCAGGAGAGGCACCAGAGGTGAGGTGAAAGAGGGAGAGACCGTCTGCCCTATCGCACTGTAAGAACAGCTGCAGGTCATCTACCCAGACGTCAAAGTCAATGGCTCGACCCTCGGTGTCAAAAGCAAGGACACTAGGGGTAGCCATGACAACAGTAGACTAGCAGCGCACACAGTAGGGAAAGGGCAGTGCAGCGACAGAGGCGCTGTGCTTACCGGACGGGGCTGCTCGGGCGGCTCGGAGGTAGGGCGGCTCGCCGGCTCGGTGGTTCGGTCGCACGGCGGCTCGGCTGCAGGGCGGCTCGGCTGCTGGGCGGCTCGGCTGCAGGGCGGCTCGGCTGCTCGGCTGCTGGGCGGCTCGGCTGTGCTGCTGCACGGCGGCGCGGCGGTCGGCTGCTCGGCTAGGTGAGGCGGCTCGGGCGGCTCGGGTGGCGGGCGGCGCTGCAGCAGGTGACGAGGCCGCATGGAAGGCGGCGGGGCCGCAAGTGAGGGCGGCGGGGACCGCAAGTAAGGGCGGCGGGGACCGCAGGTAAGGGCGGCGGGGACCGCAGGTGAGGGCGGCGGGGCCGTAGGTAGGGCGGGTGGGCCACAGGTAGGGCGGCTGGGCCGCAGGTAGGGCGACGGGGCCGGGTCGAAGGTAGGGCGACGGGGCCGGTACGCAGGTAGGGCGACGGGGCCGGGGCCAGGGCGCAGGTAGGGCGACGGGGCCGGGGTCGAAGGTGGGGCGACGGGGTCGGGGTCGCAAGCAGGGCGACGGGGCCGGGGCCGGGGCGCAGGTAGGGCGACGGGGCTAGGGCCGGGGCCGCAGGTATGGCGACGGGGCCAGGGTCGCAGGTGGGGCGACGGGGCCGGGGTCGCAGGTAGGGTGACGGGGCCGGGGCGCAGGTAGGGCGACGGGGCCGGGGCGCAGGTAGGGCGACGGGGCCGGGGCGCAGGTAGGGCGACGGGGCCGAGGCACAGGTAGGGCGACGGGGCCGGGGCCGTAGGTAGGGCGACGGGGTCGCTAGGGCGACGAATCAGGGGCCGCTAAGGCGGCGCGACTTGGCCGCTAGGGCGGCTCGACGAAGTCAGAGAGGGGAGCGCGACTCGGGCTGAGCGCGCTCCGGGCAGGAAAAAAAAACTTTCGACTTGGTGGGCCCTAGGCACAGTTCCCACGAGGGAAGCTGCTCGATACCATGTGAAAACTGAAACGAGAATGAATGAACTATGAATGAAGTGGGTACAAGTACTAACCCTAATTGGGTTGTACCCCTTATGGGATACCCCACTAAGCTATAATGTTCTAACATGTAGGGGGTTAGATACTAAGGGGTACACAATTCTAGGGTTTCATATTTGTATCACTTTCATTCCTTAGTCAATCCATTCTCGTTCTAAGTTTCTCACTAAAATCTATCACGGGTAGTCACACTCGAAAGTTTCCTCTCACAGATGAACCTTGTTATTATTTCGTTGACCCGCCCTGAAACACTGTACAGATATAGGGACTATATTTCGGGTTGGCTGTTTTTGTATTGTATACGCGACCATTTTGGTCGCAAAGATACCTGGTTACGTTCGGTTCGACGTAACACACAATAATATAATAAAAACAATGAAAGATTTTTAACGCATATATACATTGCTAGATTTCTGAATTCATTGAATCTGCGTAAATGTTTATCAAGATGATAAACCATACATGACTTGTAACGCACAATTTATATTTCGTTTATTGTTCCAAGTCATGGATGGTTTATCCTCTTGATAAACATTTAGGCAGATTCAATGAATTGTGAAATCCAGCAATGTATATATGTGCTAAAAATAATTCATTCTTTTTATTTTATTATTGTGTGTTACGTCGAACCGAACGTAACCACGTATCTTTGCGACCAAAATGGTCGCGTATACAAGACAAAAACAGCCAACCCGAAATATAGACCATAAATTTGTACAGTATTTCAGGGCGGGTCAACGAAATGATGACGGGATTCATTTGTGAGGGCAAACTTTCGAGCGTGACTACCCGTGATAGATTTTAGTGCCTTTGAGTGACGGCGGGTGATACCCGTGTGATGGTTCGTGATAGATTCGGCGGGTTTTGTGACCGTTCGTTATAGCGACGTGACTGCTCGTGATAACTCTGAAATGTTTTATGATGGCCCGTATAAGGACGTGTCTCGGTTCGCCTCTGGTCGGCTGTGATCTGGTCGGGGCTGATCTGATCGGGTTGCCTTTGTTTGGACAGCTCGCGCCGCCCGATCAGAGAATATTTTCCTCGAACACTCCACGAGGTTACATAGCAGGCGTACAAACATTTCCTGCCACTTTCGGGCCCACTTTGGCAACTGCGAAACCCTCGGCATGGAACATGCGAATTTGAGTGTTTCCCTGTAATGTCGCAAAAAGAGCCAACCCAGAAACATGCGAATTTGAGTGTTTCCATGTAACTGTTCGCCAGCGTCGCGTAGAACCCCAATCAAATGCAATCAAGTGATCGTTGGTGATTGTGTTTGATTGGGCTGTTTTCGCGGTCGATCGAGTTGGGGCGATAAGCTGATCGCGATCAAGTGATTGCCCCTGATTGCATGAAATCGCCTCCTCACCTTCCTGGAAGTTATCGATCGTGTCTGATCGAGGCAACCCGAGACGAACCGAGACACGTCCTAAAAACCCTTTCAACCCACCCATACAATTCTCTTCCACTTGCTTTGGGCAATCGGGCAGGAAGAAATCGCATATTTGATCCACAAAGCAAGGCAAGCTGAGGACGGGAATGAAGGAGCCAGCTGCTGAACAGAACGTGCACGCGCTTGTGGGATGGATGAGAGTCGCGGATTGGCAACCAGTGAGAGAAGCCACGGTGCACCAGCATAAATCTGTGGCCTTGCGGCATCTGACTGAGGCGACCACCATCGTAATCCCGCTTGAAAGGTTGAGGCCAGAAGCGCTTTCGCAACTCGAATTTCACGTACATATGTAAAGTTTCCTGCGCATTAGACTGGTTATATACAGTAAAAACCCTGTGTTTCCCGACTGCCTGGAAATTAAAAAATGGTTCCTTCCCTCCCCCCCACACCTTTGAAATCTACCGATATTTCCACCATACCCACCTTCAGAAACGTCTGCCATCCGCATTTTTTTCCCACCGATCACTGCGGCATTTTTTGGAGTCTCTTGTTGAAGCTTTAGAGGGTTTCGGGTGCTTAGGTTGTAACACCTTCCGTCCCTCTTTCGACGGGTTGCTAAACAGTGTAACTTCAAAGACATGTCTAAAGAATCAGAGGGTACAGTACAGTATTGCGAAGAGCTGGGTATACTGCTCCAACCAGGACACAGCCCGACTCCGACGTTTTGTTCTGGATTTTGGGCGGAAGCATAGGCTCTTGACTCTTGAGGAGGCAGTATATACAAATCGAAATCGAAATCCAGATCGAAACGCCAGTGTACATCCAGGGGAAATGCTTCGACAGCCCGATTGTTGCTTCCTCTTGCTTGAACGAAAAACATCGCTTCCTTCCACATCAGATCAGCCGAGGCGAGAAATATCTAGCAATCTCCTCAGCTCTGGACTGGATGGTGGGGGAGGGGGGTGGCGGAGGGGGGAAAGAAACTACACATCCAACCGTACACCTGTCCATGCCAACCTGGTTACCGCGTCAAAAGAACATTCGATAGGAATAAGATTAAGCTGAATATATTTTGCTCGGCTCACCAGCATTTTCCACGTAAAACAACAATAACTTCAGCAATGTTGTAGGATAAATCTTACGCCAGAGGGGCTGCAAAACAGCTGAACCTCAGGGCGTGTCCAGCTCGTTCATTTCGGAAAACGAGTACTACCTCACGATCTGGGGTTCAAAACTAATCACTGTACCTAAAAACGAATTCGCGCTGCGTCGATTCCACCCTTTTTGTCAATTCTAGCGCGCGGACACGTTCCCACCACACAGACTTCAACAGTGCAGGGGCCATGTGGAAACCGAGATAACCGGTTTTCTCGTCAACCCAAGCGATGGAATTTTCGCCAAGCCAAGACTTCCTCTACTGGTTTTGGCGAGTGTCAGGTGGCACAGGCGAAATCAAGCGCGCGACACACTGGGTACTCACTGTAGTGGGCAGGACGCGGTTCTGTACCATTGTTCGATGCGCACGCTGATACCTGTAACGTGCGTCACACGATTCGAGGTACGTGCAAGGGGTGTGCCGTATCTTGAACGGGAGCCGATCTTGTCCGGCATTTTTGTAAAAATCCGTGTTACAACGCTAATTTTGGTAGCTGAAGGGCTTTACGAACAGAAAATGAACGAGCTGGACATCCCCTTAGTCTTATCGGATTGACAGACCTCTTGATTCGCCACGTTGCGCGGAATTTCATGGTCCTCGCGCTTCGAGCAGTCAAGACGCGTGTGTGTTCGCTCGTTTGCCTCGCTCCCCCACAATCCCCGCCCACCAGCCTTTATGCCCATCACCTCCAGAGATGTCATTCATTCTGAAAGTCCGACATCGCACTTCAACCATATCATCTCGTTACCACCCCATGGCTCAATCAGGATCAGACGACTTACCGCGTGAATCAGCGCCTGGGATACGAAGGAACCAGTCGCTCGACGGCCCTAAAAAACGCAAGATTGAGTCCGCGCTCGTCGGGTCTGACTTGCGCTCCCCGAAGCAGACGAGAATTGCTCAATTGGACACGTCTCCTCCCGCATCGGCCTCGAGGCCGGGATTCTGGTCAATCTTCGACAACCACACGGGCAAGCTCGAGAATTATTTCACCGTGGAGTCAGCGACGCTTGGCGCGGGGCAATTCGGCGTTGTGAGGCGGTGCGTCGAGAATGCAACGAATCAGGCCTTCGCGTGCAAAACAATCATTAAAGACCGATTGCTGACGTCACCGGCGCGGGACGAGGTGCGGCGCGAGGTGGCGGCGATGCGCAGCGTGTCGGGGCATCCCGGCGTTGTCCAATTGCGCGGGGTTTTTGAAGACGAGCGACAGGTTCACCTCGTCATGGACCTGTGCGACGGTGGCGAACTATTCGACGAAGTCGTGCGACGCGGGCGATTACCGGAGAGAGAAGCCGCGCTTATTTTTCGCCAAATCGCCTCCGCCGTCGCGTTCTGTCACTCGAAGAACATAATGCACCGCGATTTAAAGCCCGAAAACATCCTCCTCGCATCCTCAGACACCTCACGACTCCCCACTGCCAAGCTCGCCGATTTTGGATTCGCAGTTCCCATCCCCCCCGGACATCGCGCGTGTGGCGTCGCGGGTTCGCCGTTCTACATGGCGCCGGAAGTACTGACAGGCGAGTACGGGGTGGAGGCGGACGTGTGGTCGCTGGGCGTGGTGCTGTACGTGCTGCTGAGCGGCAGCCCGCCGTTTTGGGGCGCGGACGACAACGGCGTGTTCCGCGCCGTGCTGGAGGCGCCGCTGCACCTGACGAGCGGCGCGTGGGCGGGGGTGTCGGCGGAGGCCAAGGGGCTGCTCCGCTGCATGCTGCACCGCGACCCGCGCCGACGCCCCTCCGCCGCCAAGCTGCTCTCCCACCCCTGGATCCTCGTCCACGCCTTCGGCGGCCGCGTCGTGCGCCGCGTCCTCGCCGCGCCCGCGCTCCAGCAGCGCCGGATGGGGGGGGGGGCGCTGCTGCTGTTCCGCTCTCCGCCTAGGGACACTTCGTGGAGATTCGTGATACGGTATTGTTTTTACCAATTTTGGAAAAAGGGGAAATGTGACCACAACTGGAGCACAGGGGGATGCCAACCCAAGCGTTTTGACGTTACAGGGTTACATACACGAAGAGCTTAGAGCCTTGCAAGTGCACCTCAGCTGCTCATTCCGCAGCGGGGACGCTTGGCTTGGCATGCTGCCTGTTGGGTTGTTGGTGAATCATATAATTTCATCAACTTCGTTGATGCTTGTACGGTATTGAGTTGTTGCAAAGCGCCAAGACTCTTGAACTCTATCATCCAACAACAAGGTAGACCGCTACAATGTTAAAACCAGTTGGATTTGTGGAAGTCACGGAAGCCTCGGAGGTAGTTTTCCATGGACTCTCTTGTCCTCTTCCAATGCACCTCTTGAATCACATCATCTGCACTGCGCTTCCTCTCCTGGGGGGCACAAGCCGGGTGGGTATCATAGGACATGGACAGATGGTTAGGATTTTAATGCACACTTGGTGATTGAGCTGTGTGGGTAAGAGAGGGACGGATGGGAGAGGAAAGGAAGAGAAGGGCTACAGAACTGTCACATTGAGGAGCCACACCAATGTGTAAAACCGCCAGCTCAACCCCCTCCTCGTCCCATCCTTACTCACGGCTCCTAGTCCCCGCTTACTCACATTGGCCCACTCTCACCTTGGGAATGATTCGGAAGGTGTTGCCATCGTCCCTGACAATCAGAGTCTCGTTTCTGCGGTCGCGCTGCTGGTCCTCAGGCAAATCCAACTGCCACAGGGGAGCACAGGGGAGCGGATGGGCACTGGATGTGAAAACGAGAGTAATGATGGCAACGATCGTCAGTATCAGCAGCAGAAGCAGCAGATGAGCAGCCGTGATGAATAGTCGATGGTGGAACGTTCGAGCACATGGGCACATGGGTGGAATAGAGGCGGTGAGGCCATACGATGACGTTGGCGCGGCGCAGTGTCTTGTCGTGGCCGTCAAAGACATAGACCTCCTCAAAGTCCAACACGAACTCGCGCGAGCCGTAGGGCACGTCGTTCAGGTGCCGGATGAAAAACACCTGATGGGGCAATGGGACGGGGACAGGGAGCAGATGCGTCCCGAGGAGTGTGAGACGGGTTGATGCGTGTGGATCATGTTCAGCCACTGAGAGAGGGCATAAGTGATACAATGGGGCATAAGAGGATGTCCGTAAAAGCGGAAACTGAAATGAGGATCTCGGCAATTCAGTGCACATGCTGGAGACCCCATGAGCACCATGTGCCTGCGCGGCCACATGCCCCCCACGCTCACTTTGGTGACCTCCTCGATCTCCTTGGCGCTGGGCTTGTACGGGTCGGTGGAGTGTGGCAGGATCTTCCCCGCTATGTACGTCCACCGCCCCACCTGGCACCGGATCGGCTGACATGGACAGACAGGGTGGCAGGGCGGCGGGAAGGGGGGCCGTGGAAGGCATGAGCACGACGCAGATCAGGGCTGGTGAACAGGGCATGGGGGGAGGAAGGTAGCAGTCAACGCAGCGAGTGACCGACGTGGTTTGACGGTGCATGCAAGGCAGTCACGCATGTGGAATCGGCAAGCATGTCTCCCTCTAGTAGCTGCGCGGCGCTGCCTGTTCCCGCGTACCTGTGAGGGCAGTGGTGCAAGCTTGCTGGGAATGGAGTAGACGTCACTTCCGGGCGGAGCAAAATACACCTGAACGGGCAGGGCATGGCACGGCACAGCGCACAGTGTAGGACGGGAGAGGGAGGGTAAAGGGAAGAGGGAGGATGCAGGGCATGATGGGTAAGATGCCATATGCCAGGGATGCGGATTGCGATGAGGGTGGTGGGGGGGAGACGAAAGCCGGGGCAGGGACAGGCAATGAGAATGGAGACACCAAGCAGCACAGCTTCTCCGCGTGTTTGATCGACCATACAGTCTTCGTCTCGCTGCCCTTCTCATCTGGATCCTTCCAACCCACCTGCCAAACCCTGTCCCCCCAACCCTGTCCCTCAATACCCCCCCAGCCCTGCACACCCCAGACCTGTACCCGCAGCCATCTCCGCACCTCGGAGAAATCAAACACGTCGTTTTCGCCGCCGTCGCCCCCTCGTCGCACGAAGAGGTCGCAGGCGGCCATGGCGATGCAGTGGAACGCCGCCTCCTCGATCTTGTACTCCACGCGCACCACCGCGTCCGCGCCCTCCCGCTCCGCCACCACCACCCCTCCGCCCGCGCGCGCAAGCGCCGCGTCTCCCGTCAGACCCATTGCCCCTGTGTCGAGGCCGTACGCGGAGGGATCGTCTAGCATGAAGAGATCATCTCGGCCGTCCATTTCGACCTCTAGTTCGGCGTCCAGATCGAGATCCTCCGCGTCGAACTCCATCCCCTCGTCGTCGTCGTCGCCGTCGAAGTCGCCAGCTCGCACGACGACTATCCTCCGTCGTCTACGGTTCGCAAAGACTGGGTGCAACGGAAGGTTTGAGGGCGAGCGAATCCGTTGTGAATGGGCAGAGGAGGTGAGGCTGAGAGGCTTTGACGAAGCACGAAGGGTTGGTGTGGGCCGCCGCAAGTCCCGCCATGCGACATTTGGCGAATGAAACAGTGAGTTCGGGCTGCACCCGCAACGTGCAGCGGCTGTGCACGTTGACATTGCCATGCCCGTCAACGCCGCCACGACGATTCGTGACTAGATGCTATCGCGAGGATAGCTTGCGATGGTGTTTCCGTTGAAGCGACTACAAACTGCGACGCTAGGATGACGGCACCTAGAGACGGAGTGTTATGATGACGCTGGCTTGGAAAACAAACCGTGGTGGTGGGGCAAGGAATGCACAAGCTCGTGATGCTGTGAGCTGAACCACCGTTCAATGAAGACAGTCGATAAATGTTTCAGTCAGGTCATGCTCGTTGAGAGAAATTAGTCGCGTACATACAGCAATTCGGGACAAGTTGAGAACTTGCAGTTTCAGGTCACCACATTACTACAGAACTTCAGCATGGACTGAGGTGACCCACAGACAAGCACTGGCTAATTGACTATGTGCTGACACATAGCAAACCTTGGGTCTAATATATGCAAGCGTGGCACACACAAACCGCAGCTCTCCTAGCCTTCACTCGGCTCGAAATAAGGTGATCTCCTGCTGCTTGAAGTACCGACGATCCTCCTCGTCCACGAGCACTAAGTTGAGAAAGTACTTGACTGAGAATTTGTTATTGATGTTGCGGTAGGTGGGTGTTAGATCATATGGGCTGAGGAAGAGCCGGATGGGTATACACTCGCCTGTACACACAACAAAAACATGAACGGAAAAAGGGAGGGAGAAGGGGCAGCGTGAAGCAAAATGGGCCAGTGCAAAATAATTGTCTGAAAGAAGCCGAGGGATATTACAATCTACAAGGTATTGAGAGAGTTCAGAAGCAAATACAAGAGAGCCCTAAATCCGGAAGACTCACCTCTTACTGGAGCTCCATCCATGACTTCATACTTGGCAAGAGTTTCGCTCTCATTGTAAGTATTCGGCCCTGAACCCGTTGATTCACGTCGCCTTATCTCCAGCTCCATGTGCTTTATCTTGATTCTAACCAGTAGAAAGTAGATTTTCCCTATTACTACATCCTTCAGGTGGTACCTGGAAAGTACCACACACAAGAATCGCAAGTCAGATGGCATGAACTGACAGTAACACCTGAAACAAAGGACTCCCAATCAACAATTGCAATAGCTTACTTTGATTTGTTGTATTCGAACTCAATGTGTAAACAGTCCTCAATGCCGACCTCCATCTGCACAAACACGAAGCAGGGGCTTCTAAGAGCTCAGGCTGAGTCGGGAGGGCTGCAACCCTAAGCACTGAAGTCCATACCCACCTTGATTGTGTTGTTGATTTCCGGCTCTTTCAAGATATTCCGTACCTGCAGAGATTGCCAATAGCAAAAGGTCACAACAAGCCCTTTGAATGTGTGACAGAGAAGGAAAGATGAATATTGCAGCGGCTCACATACCCAGAAGTCCTTCTCCTTGACAATGTTGGAAGAATAGTTTCGACTGACAGTCACTCTCAGAATGTACCTGAACAATATGGAACACTAAGTGGCATAATTCAAACGTGACAGGAAATCCACGATGTGACCACAAGCATTACAAGGTACGTACCTCAGTCTAACGTTGACCCCGTTGTACGACTCATACTGCATCTCTACGTTTTGAAACTCAAAAGGGTAAATCTTCCTCTGGGATATCTCGCCAGGAATGTCGAGCTCTCTCACTGCAACGACCACGCTTCAGCAAATTCGTGTCAGCGTGCTATGAGAGACGACCATCTCCGTATCTTTAACTTCCCCAAATGGTACTCACCGAGAGAGGTGAAATCGTAGAAATTTCCGCGATCAAAGAAAAGCTCTGAGGAAGTACAAGTGAACCAAAAAACATTTCGGTAAAATACCAATAAGGGAACCCACACGTTGTACTGAAGCTAAAAGGGCACAGCACTGACCGATTTGGCCGATCAGCTCGATCTTGACTCCGGTGTGTTCGATTTTTTTCCCCGGCAAAGGCTCTATCCTCACCTGTCACATTACCCGAGTATCAGTTAGACATGTATGCCTAGTATCAGCACCTACCAGCCAAAACGTAAGGATTCTACCTCTCCCGCGACCGTGTCTTGGCCATGAAACAAGGGCACTAACTCTGTTTGGCCACTCTCCCGCTTAACGGACGCCTGCAGGTACCCACACATTAATAACGTTCAGATGACGGATCTGAGCTCCAATATAGAAATCGGGGCAAGACTAATACGCTGGGACCACCTACTTGTTTTCGCGTCTCTGCGTCTTCGAAATTTATAGCGATTGAGCACGGTGGACCAAGGCCAAAGAGGCCGGACTGCAGTAATATGCTCTGCGCGGCCAAGGAACTGAGTCAGCACGTGGAAGTGCCGCAAACACGTAACAACTTGACGAAGCGTCACGAACCATTTATAGTACTCTGTTGAAGAACCGCCGTCTAAATCGCTGTGTGTGACACTTCGGTACACCTGTTCGCTGCGGTTCGTTGCGGGAGCACAGAAAGCCAGCAGATCGAAGTAGCTAACTAGGCAAAAGACTAACACAAAAACGACCGGAAGTCGAGGCAACGGGCATCGAATGCAAACTTCTATGTCCTGGAACCGCACAAGCAGATGTAGTTGACTATGGTAGACCTACGTAGTCTGACGATCGAAGCAAGTCTACTGATGTTAGGCTGTTGATGCAAAAAGTGGCATAAGGAAACCATCGAATGCATGAGCGAAAAAAGTGGAATGTTCTGATTTTGGACCATAGTCTAACTGAAGTTTACGAAAAACATTTTGCTATAAACACGTGTAGCGTCCATGCAGTAGCGTGGATATAATTCCTTGTACATCCGTTTTACGATCTTGTCAATGCAATTTTCCCTCGTCCTGTCCCTTCGCTTCAGCAAAGTCGCACTTGCTTGCTTCGAGTGAGCCGCACTAGACTCCGCATGCATGGCAATAGGCCTTCGCTGTCTGGAGGACATCATAAGCGCCCATTGAATCTGTTTGGATGGAAGTGGTATGCGAAACTATCTGCAGTTTGCTTCTTGACCGGCGCTGCCATGGAGGCTTTCATGATTAAGACTGGTTTTTGTACGTTTATCTCCGCCCCGCAGATTTCGGCCCGTTAAAAACCACGATATACTTAGTTTTTTCGTTCTCGCTTTTGCAGACGACAAGGTGACCGCGATAGAGGCGCAGCGGCGGATAGAATTGCGAGAGCGCAGCACGGTAATCGCTGGGCGTTTTTCCCTCGTGCTGGATTAATACACTGTGAAAGGTTATTGAATACTATTTGGGCCGATGCAGGACCAACCTAAGCACTGGAGTCAGTCTTTGTGGCCTTCGGACGAGCACTCTAGCTCTAAGTAATATGATATAGAGGTACGGTAAATGCCGCAGATCTCGAATTTCCTGGGGATCAGACGTGCATCGTACCACCAACGTTTCCGCCATCACTCAATCAAAAGGGACCTTTGAGCTGGGCTGAAGGCCAGCCCATGCTGCCTGTGCAGTCCTTGTTATTACTGCTCATCACACCACTGTTTTCCAGCACATGAGCTTGAGTTGCACTTGTTCAGTGCAGCGTGGTCATAACGTTGTTCAGTGCAACGTGGTCATAGCGTATGTTCTTATTCACTCCTCCCTTATCTGTCTTGCAGTTGTATGTGTAGCCTGGTCCAATGGGCAACATGGTACGACGGTGCGTCAGCAGATGCAAGATGGCTTAGTTGCTATTCGTGCGAACGGCTGTCACAGCAGGCTTTTCTAACGATTTTTCTGCCACCATGGAAACACCATGCCTAAGGTGCAGGCTGATGTGGTAGATTAAAAACAGTTGCTTAGAATACAGAGTACAGAGAACGTAACCTCTTGAATTGTTGCAAGTAGAGGTAGGCAACACATGTTAATAGGGCCCACCTGCATTTCAGCGTGGGGTGGAAAGTGGATTATGGTAGTTGATTGTTGTGCACACGTTTAATACCGAAAAATATAAACGGAAACTAGCAAATAAGAGTTGTCACGCTGTAGCAAATATTTCAAATTCTAACTCATAACGAGACAACGCATCGTGGTATCGAGAATTCGAATCATTCATCAGCACGCTTGGTATGGTGACGAATGGTCGCCATCGAGGCACGTGGCAGGCCACAGCTTGTTGTTTGCTTTGTATGGGTGGTGCAGCAAACGTCAAGCAACTTGTACGACATCTCGGAAATATCTGATCAGATATTTCTCCACGCGCCGAGCCTTTGGCTCCACCTTACGGGCACACTCGGAAGGGCCTCTCTGTTCGCCTCAAGACCATGTGTTGATAAATTCGGAAACCTTTCAAGGAATGCTAGCGCTAGCTTTGAAGATTGCTCAAATATATGGCAGGTCATCCTTTTTTTATGTTGAAGGGACGGCTGTGCTCCTACTCTTAGCCCGCAATATGAAGGATTCAGGGGAACACGAAACCAGAAAAGTAAGTTTCATTCTTTGGGAAACGCTACGAGACAACATAAGGCTGACGTCCGCTCCACCCCACATCTCCTCCTTCCTCTTTTCCCTGTGCTGCCTGCGAAATGCTCCGTTTTCGCGCGAATCCTGCGCCAAATTGCGCGACTTGCGCACTCGAACAAGCTGTTCTCTAGCTCCTCCCAATTCCTTTCTGCGTTTTCCTCCCATCTCCATGAGCTCAGCATGAAGTTGTATTGCTGCCGCTCGTTGAATGCTGCTGTTCAGCCTCTCGCGAACATATGTTTTTTTCGCCGTCACGCTCAACCACCATGTCAATGTTCCACGTGAATGTGACGCCATGCTCGATCAACTTGCCAACTCACGGAATCTTTTTCTCGCGTCTCGTTCAACTTCCGCAGGGCCTGAGCTTGAGTACGCTCGACAAATGTCTGCGTCACGTGCTTTTCCTGTAAAGACGAGTAGTGCAAAGCATAAAGCACGCAAGGAAAAATCTAGACTGATATATTTTCCTTCTTAGCTTTGCTGATATTTTTCCAGATCCTATAGCTTCTCAAGGTCCCCTAGTACGAATCCTCGTTGTTTCAAGCGCATCCAGTTTCCTTGAGCCTCCCATATCACCAGAGCAAGGGACCACTCTCGCGTCTTCCTGCTTGTCTCTTCGAGTTTCGCGCTCACAATTTTTCTAATAGCGCGTCGCGCGTGCTGATTCGTTGATCGGTTTATCGCCTTAGCTATTAGCGGTATGGCGGCTCATGGCACGCGGGACAGGGACCTGATGGGGTGCGGCGATCGTGACGAGTCGATTGCTGCGATCGAACGGTCGATAGAGCAGCAAGTGCAGCAGATCATGGCGCATAAGTAAGCCATCGTAGCGCACGAATGGCTCGAACATCATTCGAGCAGCAAGTGCAGCAGATCAATGGTCGAAACTTTGCCAATTCTACAATTCCAGCAGTTCGTCTCAATTCGACGGAAATATAAAATTCTTTTTTTCGTCCATTTTTCCCGTGTCGCGCAGGATGCTCATGGCGACGACCGGCTCTGGCGACTCCAGTTCCGTGGACCCACCGCGCTGGCTTCCCGCCGCCCATGCCGACTCCGGTGCTCAAACGCCCGCGCATTCGTCGTTTGGCTCCCAGCCGGCGCAGCTGTCAAGCGCGCCTGTCGCCGCCGCGTGTCATGGTGGAAGCGCGATGCGCATATTTCACACATGGACGCCACGCGACGCCGCACATTACGGCGTGCAATTCGGCATCCGCGAACCGATGGTCGTCTGGTCTCCTTACAGCGCGCAGGTCTACATGCACCCTCCCGCTCCTCCCGCCCTTGCGCCGAACTTCCCCGGGATGTCCGCTCCTCCACCGCTTCCCCCACTTCGGCCCTGTCCCCCGCCTGTTCCGCAGCACTCCCCGCCGTTGTCGCAGTGGTCAGCGGGTCCCTCGGCCAATTCCGCCAAGTCCGCGCGGGGCCCCGCGGAGCACACGGGCTCATGGCTGGACACGCAGCTCTTCCCGAGCGCTGTCGGCGTGAATTGCGGAGAGAGAACCACGGTGACACCGATCGTGGTGATGCCAGCTCGTTGCGCGCCGACGGAGCTCGTGAATTCGACCTTAGTCGCTCCTTCCGCCGCTAGCGCCGTGACACGCGGAACGGGGCCGCGCGTGGAGGAAGGAGGTCCTTGCAGCCCGCAGGCGGGCGCTAATAACGCGGACGTCACGACGCGCTGCACGCCGACATGGGAAGTGGTGGCGGAGAGGATGAGCGCGCCGCCGGCGCAAGGCGTGGCGGCGCAATGGCCCCTTGCGCAAGGGGTGGCTGAAGGGGGCCTGGTGGGGGAAGGCGACGACATCAGCGCGTGGCTGAGCCGCCTAGTGGGCGGCACGGCTGGCCCTGCCCTGCCGGAAGGACCGTCGGCGGAGCTGGCGCATTTACAAGGAAACGGGGCGACGCGTGGTCATGTGATGTCGCCAGCTGGAGTCGCGTCATGTGGCAGCAACGCCGCCGCAGCAAGCGCAGGACGCGGCACCGCGTACAATCACAGCGGCGTGCGCTGTGACACGGCACTCTGCGACAACGTGCCATTCAACAACCCCGGGCGCAACAGTCTCGGCGCCATGCCTGCTGCACCTGCACCTGCCTCCGTCTCAGCGCATGTGCTCCGCTCTGCCCAGCGACATCCCGCCCCTGCTCCCCCCCCTTCGCAAGGGGGAGTAGGGACAATGGCGGAGCAGGGAGGGGAGTGGGGGAGGCGGGGTGTGGGAGAGGAGGAGAGCGATGAGGGAGGGGGGGTGGAGGAGGAGGCATGCATGGAGGGCATGACAGTAGAACAGATTCTGCAGGAGAGGAGAAAGCGCAGGTGAGACACTCGACAGCTTTTGAATCTGGCTCTTTAGGGATCCTCCGCTTTTGTAGTCCACACGTTGGTCTTGTATCTCTGCTAATGTTTGCGGATTTTGCCTGTCGCTCTGAATATTGCTTTCTGCTGCCGTGCAGGATGGTCTCTAACCGCCTGTCGGCCAAGCGAAGCCGGCAACGCCGCCAGCAACTGCTATCACATCTTGAATCCGATGTAAGGGGAATGTTGCTGGCTTGTGTCTTCGCATGGTCATGCCTCTGTGATTGTGTGCACTGTGCACACACCACGGTAAGCATGTCTCGTTGTATTTATCCCTCTTCCATTGTATTTATCTTGCGCAGGCTTCCAAACTGAAGGCGGAGAGGGAGCAGTTGAGGTCAAAGCTTGCGCATGCTGCAAGCAGACTCACACAACTGCATGACCAGCAGAAGAAGCTGGAGCGCGAGAGGGATGCGATAAAAGCGGAGATAGAGGCAGGCAGGAAGAAGATGAAATGCCAAGCAGAACAAAGTACACAGGAATTAGAAGCATGTGTCATGTAGAGGTATTTATTTTTCTACAGTATAATGGAAATGTAGAGCAGAAAGCACATGGAGTACCCAAAGGGTTATTGATATTTTTTTGGAGAATCTAATGGATGTTGGAAATGTAATAAGAAATCACTTTCTCCGACTTCTAAAAAATGCCAACCAGTATTCTAACGCAATTTGTGTGACCCCCACCCTAGTCCAGCCGGAAATCTCATTCAATTCATCATCTGGTCCCGTATATCGCGAAGGTGGTTCTGTACAGCGCGGAATTCCGAGCCTGCCGCTCTGTTTCCGCGTGCGTTTCGCCGCCATGGACGCTAAAGAGGCCGACGGGCGGCTGCTAGAGGACGAGCTCGAGGCGCAGCTGGCCGCGCAGCGCGCCACGCTGGCGGAAGTGGACGCGCTGCTCCAGGCGGAACCCTCCCCGGAGATTGCGGAGGTGCGCGGAGAGCTCGCGGAGGCGGTGGCAGCGAGCGAGGCGAGTCTGCTGCAGCTGAAGCGGCAGCGGCTGTTGCGCCACGCGGACAGACTGGCGGAGGGGCTTTCAGCGGAAGCGGCCGCGCGTGGCGGAACGGGAGAGGCTCGAGGGGCAGAAACGGCCAGCGCGGAGCAGACCGATATAGGCGGAACGAGCGGAGGGGAACGGCGCGCGGAAGGCGGAGGGGGGGAAGAGCCAAAGAGGGGTGATGAGGAGGAGGGGAAAGGGGGAGAGTGGGGGGTGAGCGTGGGACAGCGGTGCTTGTTCCGCCACGTGGACGGCAGGTGGTATGCGGGGGAGGTTCTGGCTTTCGAAGGGGCGGAGGACGATCGGGGGGATGGGGAAGGCGGAGTGGAAAAGGTTGCTGGCAGCCGGGGAGGGGAATGTGGGGGAGACATTGGGGCGGCGGAAGGGGAAGTGAGGGGGAGTGAGGGCGCGGGAGCAGGCGAGGGAGGTGCGGATGGGGAGGAAGGAGTGGAGGAGAGAGTGCGGTTGGGGTACGTCTCAGGGACAGGCGAAGAGGGTCAGGGGAAACAGGCGGAGTGGGAGGGGAGGGGGGAGGAGAGAAGAGAGGGGGACGAGCGGAGGAGAATGGGGGGAAGGAGCAGCAGGCGGGGAGGGCGGCGAGTGGTGCGGGTGGGGTTCCTGTACCCCACGACCCGTGCGCACCAGCTGTGTCGCTTCTTCCTGTCGCGCACCTGTCACTTCCACCATCGCTGCCGTCACTCCCACGGCCGCCTCCTCCCCTTCTCCTCCCTCCGCGCCCTCCCCCCTCCCCCCTGCCCGCTCGCCCTCCCCCCCGGCTCCTCTCTCCTCGCCTCGCTCCCACCCGCCCCGCTCTCCCACGACCTGACCCGCCTCTGGGAGCAAGCAGAGCTCCAATCACATCACGCCACGTGTCCGGGAGCATCATCATCAGCAGGCGTCCACCTGCCCACGTGTGCCTGCACCTGCACAGTCACTCTCGTGCGCGATGGCTCCTCCTGCGCCCTGCCCCTCTCCTGCGTCGTGCCCCTCTCCTTCCTCCACTCCCTCCCCCATGCCGCTGAGACGGCCCCTCCCTTGGTCCCAGGATTGGTGGGAGAGGGAGACAGAGGGCTTCGTGGCTCTGCTGGCAGTGGGAGCAGCAGCTCTGACACTGGCAGCAGCAGCAGTGAGGAGAGCGCCGAGGGGTATGAGTCAGATGATGAAAACGATGCTGCTGCTGCTGGCGACGAGCATCTTTCTGCGTCCCCCTTTGCAGCAGCAGCATCTCTCGCAGCCTCCCTGCAGCACGCGCATGCAGCAGCGGCAGCGGGCCCTCAGAGCGAGACGGTGGCGTTTGCAGCGTGGGAGCAGCACACACGCGGCGTGGCATCGCGGCTCATGGCTCGCATGGGCTTCCAACGTGGTGCCGGGCTCGGCAGGGACGGTGGAGGCATCACCTCCCCTGTTGGGGTGCGGCCGGGGAAGGAGAGGCGAGGGGCCAAGGGTGGTGCGGTGGGAGGTGCTGGGTTGGGGGCGGCGGAGGAGGAGGGTAAGGGTGGGGCGAGGGATGGGAGTGCAGGTGGCGGGGAGGAGGGGAAGAAGAGGAAGAAGAGTCGGGGAGGGGAGAGGGCGAGGAACAGGAAGAGGATCGCAGCTGAGAGAGAGGCTGCAGCAGCGGCGGCGGAGGAGGAGGAGGGCGGGAGGAGGGGAGACGTGTTTGATTTTATTAACATGCACTTGGGGGGCAGAGAGAAGGAAGTGGGTGATGAGGCCAGGATAGTGCATAGAGGAGGGAATGGGAGGAAGGAATCGGGGAGTGAGTCTGCTGGGGGCGGGGGCAGCCAGAGCGAGAGAATGGGGGGAGTGGGCCGGGGAGGAGTTCGAGGGGCCAAGGTAGTAGGGGCGGCAGCATGTGCCGGTGCTATACCAGGGGCAGGAGGGAAGGGGCGGGAGGAGGAGCGGCGAGAGCTAATGCAGCAGGAGGAGCGGGTGAGGGAGGTGCGGGCGCAGGTGGGGCGGTACGAGGAGATGGCAGGGCGCCACGCACACGACAAGGTGACACTGGCCGCCGTGCACCGCAAGCTGGCTGCCGCCCGGGAGGAGCTGAGGCGCGTGCAGGGGGGGCGGGACTCGGCACACTCTAGTGCAGCCCAGAAGGAGGCCTTGCGGAAATGGACCAAGTTCTAGCGCTGCTGGCTCGGTGGCCATGTGTGATGTGCACCCTCCTGTTCTGTATTTCTGTCTGTTGTACCGTCATCGCCCGGATACAAGACAGTGTTGAATAGTAGACAGGGGTTGTCTACTATACGGGTGTCTCTTATAAACAAGCTAGCCTTTTTATACGACACCTATTTGTGTGTACGAGTTAAGACATAGTATATGTCTTAAAAATCAGAACCGGGGTTTCGGGGTTTTCTTACAAACAAGGGGTGTCTTCTAAACGAGCCTTCTTTACTTTAGGGGGGTACATACATACATTCATGAATCTCTACTTCTACCTAACCCCCCTCAGACACCGCCTCCTCGCCTGCGCTAACAACAGGCTCTACACCTAGGTCTGGCACTCGCCAGGCATGCCTAGCCGTCTCCCTAGGCTCGATCATGCGGTCAGCCTCGGCCGCACCGTCTTCAGCCTCCTCATTCGCATCCATCGCCGCTTCCTGTGCATCCGCCGCTGCCTCCGCGTTGTCACCATTCGCATTTTCACCTCCGTCATTGTCCAAATCTCCAGCCCGCCACTCTTCCACCTCGTCGTCGCTCCCGACCGGCCGATTCCACCATTCGTCCTCCTCGATGTCGGCAGGACCTAATTCGTCGCCCGAAGCGCTGTCGTCGTGGCCGTTCTCCGGCCAATCCTCCTCGGCGTCGTCGCCGTTCGCTTCTTCTCCGTCGTCCCCATCACAGCTCGCACCGGAGGCCGCGGTAGGACTTCCCGCCGTGCTCGCGTTCTTCGCCATGGCTACACGGATGTCATCGTTGGGCGAGTTAATTCGCCCGTAGTTATTCACCTGCACGTGAGGACGAGGAGAGGACGAGCCCGGGGGTACTTTGTTGCGCATGGTTAGAAAGCCTGCCGAGCAGGCCCCTAGATTCGTTTGGAGGTAGTCTGACGCCTCAGAGTACACCCCTCTTCCTAGTCTGGCTGTCAGAGTTACCTATTTTTTCTAGTCTGAAAATTCAGACAACACTACGTTTTTTACGCTGAACGTTCAGAGTTGAACACAATTTCTGTTTTGTCTTAAACTGAAACATAGAATATTATAATTTTTAAACACACATGTAGTGTATTTTAAAATTGTGTATTGTGAAAGCGAAGCTGCTTGTACTGCACAATTGGCATCGTCGAAGCGCGCTAAACGCCCTTCTCCAACTACAAAAACCGTGGGTTGGAGCTCATTTCCCTCCACCCACGTTTCTCAATTTTCAAACGGCTCACTCAACATTTTCCGCTCGAGTAGTTTTTCCCTCCAAGCTGGCTAGGATTAAATCGCTTCCTAGAGGCGAGTCACCCTCTACTTTACTCAGCGACATTTTCAACTTCAATCGCTCAACGATGGCACCTACGCCGACACTTAACAACGGGAACTCGTCAACCCCCGCTTCCGACTCCGACCGTAACGCCCGCGATTCTGCGGGCGAACGCCGTAACAAGCGTCGGGCAGAAGACGGACCTTCCGCCCCGACTGCAGTGGACGTGCTGCTGGGCGGGCTCGAGATCCACAAAAACGCCGAAACCCAGCAGCACCCTTCGGTCCTTGTGGCGCCAGTGGCGCCTGTGGCGCCAGTGGCGCCTGTGGCGCCAGTGGCACCTGTGGCGCAAGTGGCGACGGGGACTGGCGCGGCACACGCGACTGACGCCGAGCACACGCCAGCACCCGCTGCTGGACCGTCGCGTCAGCGTCAGAGGAGGCGGACTGCAGTCTCCTCGTCTGACGCGACCGCCGCCCCTGCGCTGACGCAGGCGTTGACCCCGGACCAGGTCAACGCGCTGCTGTCCCTTCTACAGCAGCAACCCGTCAGCGTTACAGCCGCGGAAACTGCACTACCCGCCGCATCTGCGTCGGCTAAAAAAGAAACTGCAAAAAAGGAGAAAGGCACACGGGGAGCACGGACGAACCGGCATGACAACGACGCAGCGACTGCCGCTCCCCCTGCTCCAGCGGTCGACAACGACACCGACGACTCTGAAGATGAAGCCGGTGAGGCTCCAGTCAACAATGTTAATTTTATTGGCACGGAAAACCTTCCCCCCCTCCCTTCTTCTAATCTTACCTTTTCGGCGGCAACCTTCGTCAACGACTCCGTGCGAGAGCAAGCGGAGCTACTGGAGGACCTGCGGGCGTACCTGCTGCACGCCGAATACAAGGCGGAGCGCGGTGATCCGGCGGGCGGACTCGAACTCATCTCACACGCTCTCAACCTCATCGCGGGGCGTTTCGAGGTGCTTCAAGTGGAGGACGCCTCCGACTTTCGCACGGCGAAGCGCTTTAAGCTGTACCAGCAGAAGAGCCTGCTGACTTCTCGACCCTTCAAGCAGGCGGTCGCGGACATGGCGGCGATGGACCGTGCGGCAAGCGGATACGCTCGTGTCAACCGCGGCGGAAACAACGGGCCGATGCCGTTCTTACCCAAGCGAGGCCCCCCGCCCACGGCCAATTGCCGTGGGTTCCGGGGCTCATGCTTCCGCTGCGGCCAGCCGGGCCACGTGGCAAGTGCCTGCCCTCGGAACGGGCATGGAGGCCAAGGACCCGCTCCGGTGGTGTAGGAGCGGGCCATGAGACTAGGCGCTTGGGCGCTAGGCACGGTGCACTCTTGAGTGCGAAAACCGTGGGCAACCCTAGGGGTTTGCGATGACAAGAGGCCAGCCCTAGTAAAGGGTGGGATAGGCTTGGGCCTAGGATAGGGAAGGGGAACAACAACCCCTCGGTCCCATATGTTGGCCACTTGGTGGCATGCTAGGAAAGCATTGCTATGTGTGTTGGTTGATTTAATAAAAACTACCTTCCTAAAGGCCTATGGTTTTGGCAAAGAGACTATGAAAATCAAGAGGAGGAGCAGAGAGAGAGAGAGAGAGAGAGAGAGAGAGAGAGAGAGAGAGAGAGAGAGAGAGAGAGAGAGAGAGAGAGAGAGAGAGAGAGAGAGAGAGAGAGAGAGAGAGAGAGAGAGAGAGAGAGAGAGAGAGAGAGAGAGAAGAGAGAGAGAGAGAGAGAGAGAGAGAGGGAGAGAGAGAGAGAGAGAGAGAGAGATAAGAGAGAATGAGAGAAAGCACAATGGACAACGGTGTCCATGGCCCTAGGCATCAGCCCCTACGCACTAAGGGCAGGCACAACCATGTCCTACCAAGTGGACGACGGGGCAAGAAAAAAAAAAAAAAAAAAAAAGGGGAAACGAGGAGAAGAAGAGACATGCGTTGACATGCGTTAACATTCCCGACACATTCGTTGACATTTCATTCAATTGTTCATTCTCTTCACACCTTCGATAAATGGTTGCCCGTACAAGTACATGCACACGCATGCTTTAACGTGGAATACTCAAAGCTTATACCACTTGGCCTCAAATGTACAGGAGCACGACGGTGCGAGGCGGCATGCCACGACGATCCGTACGAATTTGCCGTTACAGACAGAACTATTACACACATGCGCGGTCGTCTTCGCGCGACATTTGCGTGGTGGAGCTCATGGTGCCCCAGCAGCCTTGTCCTCTCCGTCATCGCCAAGGGTTACTGGTTGCCATGGAGCCACGGCCCACCGCAACATTTCCACGATCGCAATCATGTCGGGGCAAACACGCATGCCACGTTCACACGTACCGCCATCCAAGAACTCATAGAGACGGGAGCGGCAATTCCGATGGCCGCAACGGAGCTTACATGCATAAGTCCACTCAACGTGGTCGAGCAAAAAGACAAATGCAGGCTCATTCTTGATCTGAGGAAAGTCAACGCCAACTTGATCATCCCCAAGTTCAAGTACGAAGGGCTCAGCCGCGTCGCCGACCTTGCGCGCGTTGGGGACTGGATGTTCTCCATTGACCTCAAATCTGGTTACCACCACATCGACATCCACTCATCGTGCTGGAAGTTCCTTGGCTTTGAATTTGATAAGCGCACATACGCATTCCGTTCACTACCATTTGGCCTCGCGACAGCTCCATTCGTTTTCACGCAGCTCATCAAGCAACTAGCTCGGCGTTGGCGAGAACAAGGCATCCGAGTCGTACCTTACGTGGACAACATCTTATTTCTCTGCCAGTCGAAAGAGGGCGCGCAAGCAACTTGCCAGCGGGTGATATTGGATCTTAAAGAGGCAGGCCTTGTGATAAACGCGAAGAAATCACAACTGTCACCATCGCAGCGTCTCCGATTCCTGGGCGTAGAACTCGAGACCGATACCGGCCGATTCTCCATCGGTCCGGACCGACGAGCCTCACTACATGCAACCATCCGGAACCTCCTGAGCGCAAGCAAGGCATGCCGACCAGTCCCGGTCCGCCACGTGGCCAGAATCACTGGCATGCTCGCATTGATGGGTGTCGCACTTGGCGCGACAGCTCGCGCATTCAGCCATGCTATGTTACAAGTGATCGACGACGCACCGTCATGGAAAAGCAGCGTCGTTATCACCCCATCTGCAGCAGAAGAGCTCCAATTTTGGCTCGAGGAGTTCGACCGTTTCAACGGCGCACCTTTTCACGTCAAGAACAGCTACGACGCGGTAATCCACGTGGATGCCAGCTCTCATGGTTGGGGCGCCACTCTGACCACATTTCCGGGTGGCATCGAAGAAGCTAGCGCAACCATGTCAGAGCCGCTACGAGGAACGTCCAGCACGCGACGGGAGATCGAAGGCGTCCTTTGGGCGCTACAAACGTACGCGAACAAGATCAAGCAAAAACACGTTCTCGTGCGGGTGGACAACCAGGGCGTATTCTTCATCCTTCGCAAAGGCGGCTCTCACAGCCCCGACCTCACAACGGCATGCAAGAGCATCATCCGAACATGCATGGCGCTCGGCACGTGCTTGATCATTGAATGGATTCCGCGCGAGCTCAACACACACGCCGACGAGCTTTCAAAAATGGTCGACCACGACGATTACGCGCTGAAAACGCCGTGGTTCCGGATCTTGGAACGTCGTTGGGGTCCTCACTCCATCGACCTTTTCGCAAACTCCCGCAACACCCAACTGCCGCGCTTCTGTTCAAAGATTCCCCACCCGGCAGCCATTGCAGTTGATGCGTTCTCGATCGCGTGGACACCTGAAAACAACTTCGCCTTCCCCCCACCTCAACTGGTCCCAGCCGTCCTCCATCACGCACAACGCACCCATGCATCACTCACACTGATAGTTCCGCACTGGCCAGGCGCAAGCTGGTGGCCACTCTTGCAACCCTCCCCACGCACTTGGGCACCACACATCCACGCGCACATCCCTCTGACACACGGAAGCCAATGCCTAGACGTAGGGTCCCATTCAACTGCTTTTTCGGGCATGGGACTACCGCACAGCCCAATCATTGCACTGCGAGTGGCATTTGACTAATTCAAAATATATACACCTTGTGTTCAGATTTGCTCCCAAAGTTACACGACCAACTGATCAACATGCTCGCGCAGTCCCGCGCCGATTCTACGATCCGGACATATGAACCATACTGGGCCAAGTTTCGAGCCTTCTGCACAAAAGTGAACCTTCCATTCCTCCCGGCATCCGACATGACCCTCGCGCTATACCTGGTACACGCAATCCGACGCAAAGCCACCCTGTCCGTAGTGCAGCTAACCTGCTCGGCGGTCAGCTTCGCCCATCGCATGACCGGGAGCAAATGCCCGACAACCAGACCGTTCACCACCCAAGTCCGTGACTATGCAAAGCGACACTGCCCACGCCCTACTCGTCTGAAGGAACCCGTCTCGATCCAACAAGTCCAGGAAATGGCCGCGAGCTACTTGCAGTCCGACGATCCTGCGCAATTTCAGAAAGGGTTGATACCCATCCTCATGTACTCCGGATTCCTGCGATACTCTGACCTAGTAGCCATAAAATGGCAAGACATCCAATTCGACGACGAGGTCATGTGGATTCTCATACCACACTCCAAGACCGATCAAGCTGGTCACGGCACTTGGATACCCATTGCAGCAACGGCGGACCCCTGCTGCCCAGTGCGCTGCACCCGACGCTTCATCCGACTCGCTGGCTATGGCCCACGGTCAGAGGGACCATTGATTCGTGTCTTCGGTCACGGTTCAACCAGCGAGGGCCAGGCTAGGCCACCTTCATACACTACGATCCGGAACTGGTGCAAGGAAGCCTTCGCAAAGGTTGGCCTTGGAGAGTTGCAGCTAGGCACCCATTCTTTCCGAAAAGGTGCAGCCACAGTAGCAGCCAACACGGGAGTGCCAGACAGAGTCTTCAAACGGCTGGGCAGATGGCGAAGCGACACAGCAAAGGAAATGTATGTTACGCCATACGTCGAGCCCCTCATCGAAGCCTCCCGTACCCTACAAGATTCGACGCATGCGGTGTCATCGGCGCAATACACAGAGGCACTCGTACGCAACCGGAGGCCCCCGCTGCCCATGTCTCAGAGACCCCATTTGTAATGAGAACGATGCCAATTGATAAGAAAGAAAGCAAGCTTTCTCAATATTATAAATTTTAAACACACATGTAGTGTTTTTTAAAATTGTGTATTGTGAAAGCGAAGCTGCTTGTACTGCACAATTGGCATCGTCGAAGCGCGCTAAACGCCCTTCTCCAACTACAAAAACCGTGGGTTGGAGCTCATTTCCCTCCACCCACGTTTCTCAATTTTCAAACGGCTCACTCAACATTCCCACCACCCACCCCAGTGTAAACCGCCTTGCTAATGCCACTTGGATAGGGTACATAATAGCTAGTGTTATTAGTCCGCACTAGCTTATGTCGAACGATGATGCAAATGTTGTAATACGCCATTTGTAATGAGAACGATGCCAATTGATAAGAAAGAAAGCAAGCTTTCTCAATAACGAGATTTACAGCTCTGACAAGGCGAATCTCTACTCTGACAAGGCGAATCTCTACCCTGACAAGGCAAATCTCTGCCTAGGCAGGGCGAATCTTCGCCCTGACAGTTAGAATCTTCACCCTGACAGGGCGAATTTTCGCACTTCGCTCTGTACAGGGCGAATCTCTTCACTCTGTACAAGGCGAACCTTCGCACTTCACCCTAGGCAGGGCGAATCTCTTCCTTGACAGGGCGGATTTTTGCCCTGACAGGTTGACTCTTCGGTGTGATAGAGGGCAAAAGTGGTGTGACAGGGCAAGCGTGTGCCCAATGGGCCCATCTGACGCATCAGGGGGGTTCAAAACCTAGCGAGGACCCTGCTCGGGAGTTTGCGGTGCCGCGCTCGGGAAATTTTGGCTTCCCGCCCGTGATTGACGGTGAGTGCTACACGCCACCAGGCTGGCGGAAACCGCTGTATTACGGGTTTCAGGGGGCACCCCCGATACAAGTATGAGGCTCAGCCTACACTAATAAAATTAGGCTGAAATTTCAGACAACTCATAAAGCATAACTCTGAAAAATCAGTCAAGGTACATAAAGATATTCTTAGACTTCAGACTAGGTACAAAAAAAAAGTCTGAACGGACTCTGAATCAAACTACCAAGTGTGATATCTAGGGCCCTGCTGCCGAGAGCAAGGTTGAGACGAGTATTCATAAACCCTTGAGCACCAAATGAAGTGAGAGGCCGACTACCCCCCCCAGCCAGAGTGCCCCATCCACAGGTGCCGAGCCGCTCCTCTACGAGGCATCTCCTCGTAGAGGACAGCCCTCACGCTGCCAACGTGCTGCCAGCAGCGTTCTGGAAGCATCCCTGCGCTGCTGGCAGCAAAATGACGCTGGCAGCATCATTAGATGCTGCCAGCACAGATGAATATTGCCGGCGGTGGCAGCTCCCTCACGTGGCAAGTGTGGGCGTTGCATGCATCACCACTGAGGTCGGCCTGTTTCAATGAATCTAGCCTCTAAGTGTTTTCTACACACTTTGCAATTGTTACAGTCAACTTAAAAAGTTTTCCATTTATAAGACTTATAAGACACCCTAAACCATCCCGTTTACAAGATAACTCAAGCATTTTTGCCCGTGTACGAGATAAGACATATATGTCCTATATCCGGGCGATGACGGTAGTATTTGTCAACAAAACTTCCCATTAGCTGCTCAATAATCCTTGGCATAATGCTACACAAAACACAAGTGCGCATAAACCACATCCATCAAGACACATCCCCAAGGCACAGAGAGGACCATCCAGGGCGGGTCAGAGCAGCACGCGGCCGGTGAGGCGGGGGAAGGGGTCCTGCTTGCTGAGCACGACGACCTTGCTCTTGTGCGACAGGTACCCCTTCACGAACCCCAGCGCTATGAGCGTGGCCACCAGCCCCTCCAGCTCGTCCACGTCCACCGCCACCCCCCGCCCCGCCAGCGCCCGCACCACCACCTCCAGCCGCACCTGGTGCGCTCGCGCCGGGTCCTTGGCTCGCTGCAACACGTGGCTGGAAAGGGGGAGGAGGGGTGGAGGGGTAAGGGGAGAAGGATAGGGAGGGTAAGGTAGGGGTGATGGGGTTGGTGCTGGCAGGAGTGAGGTTGTGATAAGGATGGCAGATGGGGCAACAAAGGGAGCTGACATGATGAATGGGACATGGCTGGGCATGACAGCAATACTAGAACAGGGAGGGGATGATGCATGGTGTGTGCGGCGTGGCAATAGCATCATGGCATGGCAAGTGTGTGGTACATTTTTCTGATGAGGCGGCGGTAAACATGGAGCTCTAGCTTCTCCAGCAGCAGATACACACCCGCGCGTAGGAACCTGTGCTATGGCATGCATGGAGAGAGGTCCGTGGTGGTGGGGGACATACACAGGTGTGAGAGTGGGAAGGGATTGGTGGTTCATGCGGGTGCGAGCGATGGAGCGGCATGATGAGTGAAAGTGGATGCGAGGAGCAGGGGAACATGGCAAAGCAGGGAACGACGGTGAGCGTGGCGTGGGTCAGGGAGCGGCGTGGCCAAGGAGGTGGGAGGAGTGATGCGATGAGAAGGTGACGAGGATGGCAGTGCGTGGGTGTGCAAGGCAGTGCAGGGAAGCGCAGCACAGGGAGCGCACCTGTCCTCATTGGCACTGAGTGTGTCTCTCAGCAGCCGCACATCGCCTGTTCGCATGGCCTGCACGATTCCCTCATACTGCTCGCATGCCATGTGCCATGTGCCATGCCATGCCATGCCATGCCATGCCATGCCATGCCATGCCATGCCATGCCATGCCATGCCATGCCATGCCATGCCGTGCAGCCATGAGGCATGTGATACAAACTTGAGGGATGGACACGAATTCAAAGTGACATGACAGGGAACGAAAACGGGTGCGGAGGACAAGCACAGGGGTGGGCGGAAGGTAAAGGAGGGCGAAACGAGCAGCAGCAGAGAGAGCAGAGCAGAAAATATCGAGCAGTGAGGGAACGGAGGGCGAGGGGTGGCGGGTAGGGGAGCACCTCTTGCAGATGGTGGTTGCGGAGCAGCTCAGGCGAGGGCAGGTGACCCAGTGACAGGCGCACTGGAATGAGATAGCGCAGAATGCGCCTACAAGGAGGGGGGTGCAGAAAAGGGAGGGGTTTGAGGGGTAGGTGGGCAACAAGTGAAGGGAACATGAAGGGCCGAGGAAGGAGCGGTGATGGAGATAGCATGGGTAGAAGAAGAGCGATTGCGTGCGCAGATACAGGAGCGATGGGGGATGGTGGGGTGGTGAAGGGAGAAGCACGGACAGTGGAAGGGAGCAACGCACAAAAGTAGTGAAGCGGGAGCAGGGAAGATGGGGGAGGGAGGAGAAAGAAGGGATAAAGGAGTCGAGGAGGGGAGACGGAAATTGAAGGGAGGAGGAACGCGGGGAGAGCGAGGTGCAGACCGTATGTTGAATGGTCTGGAGCGATGGCAGCGCCTCAAGGCAAAGCCAAGCTTCTCATCTGCCTGCGAGCGACCATATGGCACAGGTGGTGGGGGTGGATGGGCAGTTGGGACGGCATGGGTGGTGGGGGCGGCAGAGCAAGCAAGAATGGTTGCTGATTCTAACAAAGCAGACAGGCATGGGTGTGTATGGGCAGGGCAAGAGGGCGCATGGAAGCAAGTGGTGGGAGAAGAATGAGGTGGCATGTGCGGGAACGGTTGAATGGAGCATGGCAGGTGCGGGCACATACGAGCAGGAAGGCATCGTTGAAGACATCAAGGCGCCCTGTGTAGTACTTGTAGGTCACCTGCACGCACGCACGTGAGGAGAGCACATTGGGAGTGCATGTGGGGGGTGCAGGTAGGGGGTGCAAGTGGGAAGTGCAGGGGCGGAGAGAAACAGCAGGGAGGGGCGAGTGCAGGACAAGGGGCGAGAGTGGGCGCATGGATGAGGGTTGAGGGGACGTGAGCACCAGCAGGAAATGCAATGGGCTCCAAACACTGATAGACTGCTGCTGCTTTAATGCTCCACGTATCACCTGCCCCTCACCTGCCCAACACCTGCCCTCACCTGCCCTCACCTGCCCACACCTGCCCTCACCTGCCCTCACCTGCGCTCACCTGCCATCTGTCGCGCTATTAACACATAGCCTGCGGCTAAGTGTGAATTGCACAGCAGCTTAAGGTGAGGTTGTACTATATTGCTGTTTGGTTCTTGTACTCATACTTTCGTTTGTGTGCTTGGAATGTACTGTACATATATGGAGCCGAGCAGGGTGGAGAAGCTCGAGGAATTTGGTGGGGACAGGGTGGAATTCGATTCCAGGCTGGGAATTCGATTCCAGGCTGGGAATTCGATTCCAGGCTGGGAATTCGGTTCCAGGCTGGGAATTCGATTCAGAGAATGCAATTCCAGCTGGAAGTCGGTGCATGCCTAGTGGGCCACTGGGACCCAGCTAGCACCTAGAAGCTATCGCGAGCAACACTGCTGCTATGCGACTTGGCAACTAGAGTTAGCTTGTGGGACAAGCAACCTAGGCAGAAGGATGGCTGGGACTTAGGCAGGGGAGGATACCTGCTCCGTGCTTTTTGCTTGTTTGTTTCTCGTAATACTGCAATTCGTTTCCCAACCAAGGAGGCAAGCAGCTAGGAGAAGCTAACAGCAAACTGACGGAGCCCTTGTGAGGGAGGATTTAGACTTGTTGCTGTGCAGCCTGAGAAACAAGGAGAAGGCAGGAGCAGCATCATCACATACACCAGGAGGAAGAAGAGGCAGACAGGCGGCACCGGGACAGGCAAGCAGGCATGAGAGGATGAGGGTGAGAGAGGAGGTGGAAGTACCTGTCAGGAAGAAACAGGGAATTTGAGAAAGAGGAAGAGAAGAACAGTCGGAAGAGCAGAAGGAGGGGAGCTACTTCACGACAGCTGTCGCGCTATTAACACATAGCCTGCGGCTAAGTGTGAATTGCACAGCAGCTTAAGGTGAGGTTGTACTATATTGCTGTTTGGTTCTTGTACTCATACTTTCGTTTGTGTGCTTGGAATGTACTGTACATATATGGAGCCGAGCAGGGTGGAGAAGCTCGAGGAATTTGGTGGGGACAGGGTGGAATTCGATTCCAGGCTGGGAATTCGATTCCAGGCTGGGAATTCGGTTCCAGGCTGGGAATTCGATTCAGAGAATGCAATTCCAGCTAGAAGTCGGTGCATGCCTAGGGGGCCACTGGGACCCAGCTAGCACCTAGAAGCTATCGCGAGCAGCACTGCTGCTATGCGACTTGGCAACTAGAGTTAGCTTGTGGGACAAGCAACCTAGGCAGAAGGATGGCTGGGACTTAGGCAGGGGAGGATACCTGCTCCGTGCTTTTTGCTTGTTTGTTTCTCGTAATACTGCAATTCGTTTCCCAACCAAGGAGGCAAGCAGCTAGGAGAAGCTAACAGCAAACTGACGGAGCCCTTGTGAGGGAGGATTTAGACTTGTTGCTGTGCAGCCTGAGAAACAAGGAGAAGGCAGGAGCAGCATCATCACATACACCAGGAGGAAGAAGAGGCAGACAGGCGGCACCGGGACAGGCAAGCAGGCATGAGAGGATGAGGGTGAGAGAGGAGGTGGAAGTACTTGTCAGGAAGAAACAGGGAATTTGAGAAAGAGGAAGAGAAGAACAGTCGGAAGAGCAGAAGGAGGGGAGCTACTTCACGACAGCTGTCGCGCTATTAACACATAGCCTGCGGCTAAGTGTGAATTGCACAGCAGCTTAAGGTGAGGTTGTACTATATTGCTGTTTGGTTATTGTACTCATACTTTCGTTTGTGTGCTTGGAATGTACTGTACATATATGGAGCCGAGCAGGGTGGAGAAGCTCGAGGAATTTGGTGGGGACAGGGTGGAATTCGATTCCAGGCTGGGAATTCGATTCCAGGCTGGGAATTCGATTCCAGGCTGGGAATTCGGTTCCAGGCTGGGAATTCGATTCAGAGAATGCAATTCCAGCTGGAAGTCGGTGCATGCCTAGGGGGCCACTGGGACCCAGCTAGCACCTAGAAGCTATCGCGAGCAGCACTGCTGCTATGCGACTTGGCAACTAGAGTTAGCTTGTGGGACAAGCAACCTAGGCAGAAGGATGGCTGGGACTTAGGCAGGGGAGGATACCTGCTCCGTGCTTTTTGCTTGTTTGTTTCTCGTAATACTGCAATTCGTTTCCCAACCAAGGAGGCAAGCAGCTAGGAGAAGCTAACAGCAAACTGACGGAGCCCTTGCGAGGGAGGATTTAGACTTGTTGCTGTGCAGCCTGAGAAACAAGGAGAAGGCAGGAGCAGCATCATCACATACACCAGGAGGACGAAGAGGCAGACAGGCGGCACCGGGACAGGCAAGCAGGCATGAGAGGATGAGGGTGAGAGAGGAGGTGGAAGTACCTGTCAGGAAGAAACAGGGAATTTGAGAAAGAGGAAGAGAAGAACAGTCGGAAGAGCAGAAGGAGGGGAGCTACTTCACGACACATCACCTGGCGTCACCTGGTCACACCTGGCGTCACCTGGTCAAACCTGGTGTTACCTGGTCACACCTGGTCCCACCTGGTCACACCTGGTCCCACCTGATCTCACCTGGTCACACCTGGTCACACCTGGTCACACTTGGTCACACCTGGTCCCACCTGGTCTCACCTGGTCACACCTGGTCACACCTGGTCACACCTGGTCACACTTGGTCACACCTGGTCACACCTGGTCACACCTGGTCTCACCTGGTCACACCTGGTCTCACCTGGTCTCACCTGGTCTCACCTGGTCTCACCTGGTCCCACCTGGTCACACCTGGTCACACCTGGTCTCACCCTGTCACACCTGGTCACACCTGGTCACACCTGGTCTCACCTGGTCACACCTGGTCTCACCTGGTCACACCTGGTCACACCTGGTCTCACCTGGTCACACCTGGTCGCACCTGGTCTCACCTGGTCACACCTGGTCACACCTGGTCACACCTGGTCACACCTGATCACACCTGCTCACACCTGGTCTCACCTGGTCTCACCTGGTCTCACGTGGACCCACCTGGTCACACCTGGTCTCACCTGGTCTCACCTGGTCTCACCTGGTCACACATGGTCACACCTGCTCACACTTGGTCACACCTGGTCACACCTGGTCACACCTGGTCACACCTGGTCACACTTGGTCACACCTGGTCACACCTGGTCACACCTGGTCTCACCTGGTCACACCTGGTCTCACCTGGTCTCACCTGGTCTCACCTGGTCGCACCTGGTCACACCTGGTCCCACCTGGTCCCACCTGGTCACACCTGGTCACACCTGGTCTCACCCTGTCACGCCTGGTCACACCTGGTCACACCTGGTCACACCTGGTCTCACCTGGTCACACCTGGTCTCACCCTGTCACACCTGGTCTCACCTGGTCACACCTGGTCACACCTGGTCTCACCCTGTCACACCTGGTCACACCTGGTCACACCTGGTCAAACCTGGTCTCACCTGGTCACACCTGGTCTCACCCTGTCACACCTGGTCACACCTGGTCTCACCTGGTCACACCTGCTCACACCTGGTCTCACCTGGTCTCACCTGGTCTCACCTGGTCTCATCTGGTCACACCTGGTCTCACCTGGTCTCACCTGGTCACACCTGGTCCCACCTGGTCCCACCTGGACTCACCCGGTCTCACCTGGTCACACCTGCGCTCACCTGGTCGCATCTGGTCTCACCTTCTCTCACCTGCCCGCATCTGCTCACACCTGGTCTCTGGCCGGGTAGTCATCAAAGCCCTTGGAGGAGTCAATCACACGGATGATGCTCTTGCTCAGATTCAACGTCCCCAGCTGGTGCACACATGCATACGTGCCGATGCACATGCACCAACACACCCGTGCACATGCTCACGTGCACATGCGCGCACATACACGTGCCATGTGCGCACATACACACAAATGCACACACACGTGCACACACGCATGCACATTCACCCACACTCACTCACATGCATGCGCACACATTTAAAAACGCATGGCCACACATATGCACATGCACACAAAGAGAAGAGACAGGTGTGGAACGGCGCACAGAGTAAGAGCGGGAGGAGTTGTACAGTGCATGCGAAATGGGGGGCTGGGTGAGACAGGGAGTGAGGGGGAAGGAGAGAGAGGGATACCTTGAAGTAGATCTTGAAGAGTTGGCATGCCACATAGAGCGACCCCACCTTCTTAGGGCCCTTGCCCTGCCGTGACAAGGAGGTGGGAGGAGGAAGCCGTGGGTAAGTATAGAAAAAGAAAGGAGATGCCTGGCTCTACAGTCTCTCTGCAATGCCCCTGCCCACCCTTTGGTGCCAGGCTGCTGAGCGGCTGACACGAAGCCGCACTGGCAGCAATGGTGCATCAGTCACCACTAGTGACTGCATGCAATGAGTGACTGCACGCAAAAAGGTGACTCACGTGTGACGGCACTCATAGCAGGCGACTCACAGCGATGGCGCCGAAGACCTTCATGAGGAACGACGCTGCTGCCTTGAGCTTATCCGGTGACTTGCCCGCTGCCCTCTGCTCCATGTCCGCCTGCTCCCCTGCCATGCCATGCCATGCCATGCCATGACATGCCACACCACACCAATGAACATGCAAAGGCAGGCAGAGTTACGCCAGCATGCCGTGCAGCCATGGCTGCCTGTCTCGCAGCAACCAGCCCGAGAAGAAAAACGCATTGCTATAAGCGCTATTCCCCCATCACCCCCCCTCCTCCCCCTCGACCGTATCAGTGTGCGCGCCTTACCTTCTCCGCCAGCACGCGCAGGTCGTGCACCACCGCGTGCAGCGGGGGCAGCGCCCACGTGCCCTCCCAGTTGCGCAGCACCGGTAGAAACAGACTGGCGCGCGCAGGGGGGGGGGAGGCACGGCGGGGAGACATGGCTATGAGACGAGCTCGGGGGAGGCGGAGAGGAGAAGCGATAGGAGCGCAGGACGCATTGCGCGAATGCTGCGGACAGCCATGAATCAACAGTAGATGAGCAGGTGGGAGCATGCTGCCACTGGCGATGCATTACTTAGCGGCCTGCAGCATCTCCCCGAACGCGTCTGTGAATTGGTGCCGTTGGATTGCGGCCATGGCCTGCATCAACGGCAGCAGCATCTCGCCCAGCCGCTCCGGCACTCGGCTGAGCAAACGCGCCATGTCCTGCGGAGGATGCGAGCGACAGGGGACCGCGCAAGGGGAGGTGCGAGGATTAGCCATGGCAGGTTTGGAGAAGTTGTTAAAAGCTGAATTTTCTCTCAGAGAACGAAGCTGCTTTGGCGCCTCTACGCGTACCCGCACGTGGTCGAGCCCACTGGTGACGGCTTCAGGGTAGCCTGGCCGAAACACCCTTAACAGCGCAGCTAGCGCCTCGCCGTCCTTAGCGTCTACCGCGCGGCTCACCGCCGCTACGTACTCCTGCACGCCACGCGCAGCCATTGCACGTGGATGCGTACTACAATCGCCTACGCGCAGAGTTGATCCGTGCCTGAGAGAGCGCGAGGAGTGCGCGGAACGCTTCGTTCATGGCATTGTGGAGCACAGAATGCGGTGTTATGAAATTTGTTCACAAAAAATCAGCAATTGTCAATTCACCGTCAAGTTGGATGATTCTTCGAATTTTTGTACAAATGAACTGCCTATTTGTAAGTGCTTTAGCGGAGCCCGTGACAGCGGGGATGGAGTAATGAAACAAACCAGACAAGCATGGAGATCCCAATGCCTGTGTGGATGCCAATTTGAACCAGCAGCACTGAAGAGGCAATGCTCGTTACCGCCAGTCTCGCTTCGCAGAACGCACCTCTCGTCCGCTTAGCCGGTGGAAGCTTGCGTCGAGTAGCACCCCATCGCTCTACGTTTGCGAATATCTCCCTTCACAAAACACGCGCCTTTCAATCGAAGGCGGGGGACCCGTGGTTCAATTGGACCTTCGACCTTTTGCTCCTGATGGGTGAATATTCAACACCATCGTATGGAGACGCGCCTTACTGGGATGCACGATATGAGAAGGAGGGGCCTGAGAAGACGTTTGACTGGTACCAACAGTACACAGCGTTGGCTCCCATATTTGATATTTACACGGACAAAGCGTCCAAGGTGCTCATGGTGGGATGCGGCAATGCAGGTCAGTTCCTTTCAGTTCCAATACATGCTCAGGATCGATCCGTGGTGTCGTGTAACCGACTCACGGAGATTGCACGGAATTTGTCGATTTTCTTGGTCGAGCAGTTCTCTCAGAGGATATGATCCAGAATGGATACCAAGACATTTGGAACATTGACATCTCCTCAGTGAGTTTCCTGAAGATGCCAGTCTTTCCTCTCTAGCTCGCCTTTTGGAGGTAACTATGGCTTTCCCAACGCGGTATCTGGCGTATGTCTATTGCAATTGTGCAGGTAGTGGTGGACTACATGAAGAAGAGGAACTCAACCATCCCGCAGCTAAAATGTCAGTTGATCAATTACTCTGTTGTCTGGTTCTATAAACTCCATCAATTGCAGCTGTACTCTCCGTCTCTCTGTTCGGAAGATGATCCTGACAGGTCCCACTTGCTCCAGATGACACGATGAATGTCTGTTCCATGGGGTTTGACGAGTCTGCTTTTGATGTGGTTCTTGACAAAGGTAAGGCCGGAGCTTGAACTTTCAACGTTCTCCCCTTCTTCTTAGTTTCCTCGTAGTGCGCCAGACACTCTTCGTGGCTAACTGTTCCTTTGTCTTGCAGGGACACTGGATGCCATCCTGGTCAGCACCTTCCCTAACCCTGCGCCTTTGTCATTTCAATTTCTTACCCGAGTCCTTATTTCTCGTTAACTGAGACTTTTTGCAGTGTGGTAACGATTCAGTGGAAAATGCATCTGCCATGCTCAGTGAAGTCTGCAGGTGTGCAGAAAGTGACGTCAGAGCACAGTCTAGTTTTGAACTTCACAGTATGTCTGACAACATTGTGGCTTATTTCTTGCAGAGTGTTGAAACCTGGTGGCAAGTTTCTTCTGGTAAGGTGCTTATAATCTCTGAGGTATCAAGATTTCTCCTCTCATCTCATGTAAGTTTCATGTCCTATGCAGATTACATACGGTGATCCGCAAGTACGCATGTCACACCTGCAAGTCGACAGCCTGAAATGGACCGTCAAAGTTCATGCCTTGCGTAAGAGTGTTTCGCTATTTTGCTTTCAGCTGGCTACAGATAGTAGCCTTACTGGACCGTAATGATTCAACATGAATCTTACCTGTACGTTTTCGCAGCAAGGCCTGGAGCAACTGCAGAGGTATGTCCGGCGTGGTCCCTAGTGCCTATGAAATTACGCAGCAATGGGCGGTGGGTCTCCAGTGGCGAAGACTTGGAGGGTGGGAATGTGCACTATATTTATGTCTGCACCAAGGTGAGCTCTGCTTTCTATTCACCAATAGCGCCAAGTTACACTGCCATTCTATAAGCTAGCGTATCTGCTGTGTTCTGCAGGATGCGTCCTAGTGCCAATGCCAGTCTCTAGGGTACATAGCAAGTTTCACGAATGAACTACAGGTTGGGCAAAGGCTTTTGTTTACTACCGGATGGGTAACCATATAACAAGCAAGAGTCTAGCCTATATTTGCTGGCCAAAAGGGGGCCCATGAGATTGCTGTTGGATCTTATTAAGCTAACCAGTTTGGTTGGTGGTTACCTTAAGTACTGTAGGAACAGAGGGAAGGAACCTTGCTGCTATCGCGTATCTAAACTGTCAACGTGGCACCTCCTTCGATCATCTGTGGTGTTTCCAGATTACGTGGCTTGTGCTTTCAGACCTTTCTCTTCCATTACGGATGTTCCGTCACTTCCCCTTCCCCAATCCCCTTCCACATCCACGGTAAATTCGTTTCTGGAGCCTATTCAAGAACCCAATTTCCCATTCGCTTCACAGGGATTTTTAGCTTGGCGCCGGTCACCTTACCGTGTGGATTGTTGGTCACTCGGTGGATTGTATCATGGCGTCTCTTGTAACAACCGCCTCGACGCCCACTATGACGCAGATTAGAGCAACGATATTGCAAAAGACGCTGTCGACTCCGACTCCCCGTTTTAGTCTTTCGCGATTCGGGTCAGTTGCACGCCATTCTTCAACACGGCCAGTCGTGTGCTCGCTGACGAACGACAGTCGGCCAGAAGCCGTCGGTCATGCCGTTTCTAGTCGTCCCGCTCCCGTTTCATCCACTAGTCTGATGCGCGAAGCTGATGACACCTTAGGCTCGCTTCCCTTAATGATATCTGCACCGTTTCTGCTGCAATGCCTGACCGCGTTCCCCGCGTTGGCTGAGGAGTTTTCGTCATCGTATTCTCCAGCAAGCTACTACGCATCTCTCGGTCTCTTCATAATCTCCTTTCCTGGCCTTTATTCGCTCATCAAACGCGCTACAAAATCCAAGGTTGACCGACTCTTTTCTTAGGTTTCGTCTACCAAGCACCTGCTATACCAATGCCACCTGTCATATGCTGTTGACGACTGGGATGCGCATCAGGAGATGATGAATCAGTATCGCGTGCTTCGCTTGGCAGATTGTGCGAAAGACGTTTGAGGTGCCGGGTCCTGCGGAGCCTGGTGCGAAGCCTCTGTCGGTCTTGGCCGGTGAGGTGACAGCGTTCCTCCAACGCAACAACTACAAGGTCATCGACATGAAGGATACCGTCATGTAAGTTCTTACTACTTCCTCTCGTAGGCGTGCAATGCATGAAAATACAGTGCAATGCGATGCAGAATGCCTGTACATAACCAGCTTGTTGTCCAAAAGCAGTTTGAATTACTTCACTAACAAACATGTCAATATGTGCCATAGTTATTGCGCAAATCCAAGGTGCTTTGTTAGGTAGTGCCCTTCTCCCTAGTCTTCCATTCAACAACTATGAATTCTTATTCTGCAGATTTGAGGGGAAATTGGAGCCTAGCCGCAGCCAGGCAGCCTTTCTTGTGTTCTGCACAGCTCTGAGCCTTGCAAGTGTGGCTCTTGTGCTCACCATTACAAACCCGGAGATTGGTGAATGGTGGTATTCAATAATTGGCATCTCACCCCTTGCGTAAGCACCCTCTTCTCTCTTACTCTACCAAGTTATTCTGCTGTCAGCTTCTGTTTGTATTTTCCATATGCATTTGCATTTGAACCGCCTCCGCTCTAGTCTTAGCTCGAATTCCGGCTTGTTTAATTCTATTCCTTTATTTTTGTTTTTGGTGCAGAGGTGTTTATTACTGGACGAAATCTAGTCGCACGGAGCAGATGCAAGTTAAGATGGTGACTTCTGACGATGAGAAGGTGACCGACATTACTTTTCAAGGGGATGATGAAATCATTGACCGGTTGCGACGTGAATTGCAGATTATGGAGAAGGGAGCGGTATATGTGAAGGGAATTTTTGAAATGTAGGCACACATACTGACAAATGTGATTTGCTAGATTTGAGGGTCTCTTGTGAGTGAACCTGAACATGGATCTTGACAAACATGGATGTGACGAATTCTGGAAGCTAAGCACAAGATATAAGATGTGCTAGTTCGGCATTGAAAAAAGCGTGTATTTCAGTCCAGTCCAGCGGTGACTCAGCTCCTTTATTGGCTTACACCATGGCATGTGTGTTTCCCTCACAAAAAAAGCCACGATCTGCATCGATGTTTGAGAATGCCCACAGCAACTTGCTTCACTCACCTCACCGTGGATTTCGCGAGATCGACACCATCTAAAGTTTCTCCAATGAAAGGAAACCGTCGGCGTGCATTTTGTAGGGCAACGTCGAGCATTTGATGTCCCCTTGCCTTGATCGCACCCCCTAGAGCAGGCCACGGGCCCTTGCTGCCCTACCCTTCACATTGCCTCGAACATACCTTACTCGCGAAACTAGCGTAGCGATTAAAAGGAATGGCCACGGAAGCCTCGAGCGCGGCAGTGGCGCTTCCGGATAAGATGGATTCCAGCAAGCTTGTCGCAGAAACAGTCGATGGCGTGGCCGGGGAAATCCCTGTTATCGCGTACACGGAGAAGGTCGGCTTCTCACTGCCTCGTTTGATGCGTTTTTCACCTGATTGCTTTCTGACATACCGCAAACTGACATACCACAAAATCCCCAACCGCACATGCAGGTCTTGGCAGAGAAAGAAGCGACATTAAGAAAGTAAGCATCCTTTCCATCCCAGCCATCTGCACTAATCCCTCCAAGCAGTCTGAGCCTCTTCTCATGCCCCGAATTGACCATGCTCGTGGTGGTTCACATGCTAACGGCCGCGCGTGTGTGTCTGGTGGCGGCGGGGGGGCCCATCAGGATCATCCAGGACAACTACGCGAAGATCCAGGCGGTGGAGAAGGAGCTGGAGGCGCTGCACCTGGAGGTGAAGCTCACGTCGGGGTCCAAGAAGGCGGGCATGGAGCTGCTAAGGCAGAAGATCGAGCAGAGCACGGAGAAGGCCAGGCTGCTGCGCAAGAAGGAGGAGCAGGCCAAGAAGGTGCGGGGGGAACGGATGTGCGTGGACGGGGGAGGGTATGCAGCTGGTTGAGGAACCGCCAATCTGTTTCTCACAGTATTCTGAAGTGTTCGGGACAGGACTAGCCAGCTGATATTCGAGTTGTGGCCTGTGGGTGCATGCAGGTATGGGAGGCAGCAGCGAAGCTGGTGGAGGAAGAGGAGCAGAGGAAGCAGCAGCTGTGTGATGACCTCAGAATGATGGTAAGGCCCCTCGTGCCAAGGGACTCATTTCCATCCTGACACCTTTCCACGTTCAATGCATTCATGGTGGGTATCCACTGTAATCAGCCTGCCTGTCCTCATCCCCCCACCTGCATCCCCCATGCTGCATCCACTGCCGCAATTTGCTGCTGCCCCCTCCACCCTCCTGCATGCTGCGAACGCCAGGTGCAGCAGAACGCGCTGCAGCAGTACGAGCGGCTGGAGGCGCTCACGCACAAACTGGACGCCCTCAACCCTGAGATGAGGGGACCCGCCTTGGAGGCCATTCAGGGCCTGCGCGCCAAGATCGCCCCCCACGGCGTCCTCCCCGTCTATGTGAGCCTCTCCGCCCTGCTCCTCCCTTCCTTTTCCCACCAGCTTGCTCTCTACCCTTCCATGTGTATGCCGGTCTGCTTTCTGTTCGTTGTTGCTCATCGTCTTTCTGCTTTTTGCTCATCGTGTGCGTCACTACTCAAAAGTCGTGTTCCCTGGTGTTGTTTGTTCATATCTGTAGACATCGAATGCTGATCCGGCAGCGCAAGGCAGGGAAGCACCTGCGTCTGCCGAGGGCACGTGTGCCCCATCAGCTTCCCCTGTGGACGCCACCAGCAGCACGGCACCCGCGTCAACAGCTGATGCTCCTGCCACCACCCCCAAAGCCCAGGGGGCAGAGGGGGACGCGCAGAGCCAAGGGCAGGAAGGTAGTTCTGGCGCCACAGCAGCAGCAAATGGCAGTAAAGGAGCGGATGGGGGAGCAGCACCAGCAGCGCGACTGTCTATAAGCCGTGGGAGAGGCAGAGGGCGGGGGAGGGGTTTGATTGCCAAGGGGGGAAACAAGGCAGGAGGGGATGGGCAGTGGACGGGTGCAGGGTTTGATGTGGAGGATGAGAGCATTGCATGACTGCACTGCCATGGGAATGATGTTGACAGGCTCTCAATAAATTTATTCTCCCTTCACAATTGGTAGGGTACCGGCTCACAATACAGTTATAATGGTATGGGCTTAACATATACACATGATTGCAGGTGCAGAAAGCTAAGGGTTCTGCTAAATAATCTTCTGAAGCAGGGTTCAGTGAGCAACTGGTGTAGAATCAATCAAGGCGCTTGAGGCGGGCATCGAGGTGCTTCTGCATGGGCTGCGAGGTGGTCTCCATGTCCACTGTGTACGCCAGGATGCCCTCGCCCTCCAGCTTAAAGTGCCTCACTATGCGCCGCACCTGCCCTCCGTGGCGCACAACAGGCATGAGGGGAGGCGCGGGATGAGGAGGCATGATGGTGCATGATAGTGAAGGGGGTCATGGGCGTAGCAGACGAGGAGGAAGGAGGTGAGGTGACGGGATGAAGGATGAAGATGGGGAAAGCGAGAGGGACGAGGAAGGCACGAAGATACTTGGGAGATTGAAGGGGATGGGTGAAGAGGCAGCGGCGGTGCACCTTGGTGGCGTTACCAACGAGCTCGCTCTCCACGTTGATTGTCTTGGCCTCCGCGTCATACCTGCCCTTCTGCTCGCCGGGGGAAGTGCCCCAGGGGTGGAAACAGAGCGATGACAGGAGGAGTTAGGAGGAAGGGGTGTCAGGAAAGAAGGGCATTAAGAGGAAAACTGTAGTCGACCTCCAGTAACGAATGGCCGGCTAATTCAGGCAGTGGGAATTTTTGGAAACGGGACATCTCAGTTGAAACTTGCGGCAGCCCACCTGCACTTCAGCGAGGCCTGTGCTCTGAGCGATCACGATCTCCAGCGTGCCGTCCGGCTTGGGCCGCCAGAACCCGCTCTCCGCGTGCATCGGCTCGCCCGACTCCGCGCGCCACGTCTTCTGCGCGTACGCCATCGCCGGCTGCAGCGGGAGACGCGGAAGGGATGCGCGGGGCGGGGTAGGCGGCACACTCAGATGCGGAAATGGAGGCAGGGGGCGGTGGGAGGTATGGGTGGATAGAACGGCGGGACATTAAGCTAGGCCGGGTCTGGGAGCGAGGCAGCGTGCGACGGTGCTCACCTTGCCGGCATGCGTGAGGGTGATTTCCTCAACATATCTAAACGAGTTGATGGTCGGGTAACCGCCCTCGCCCTCGCCACGCCATCGACCCAGCATGAAAGCTATCGGCTCCAGCGCCGGGTGCAGCGGCGGCGGGGCGCCTGCCATTGCACGCGAGCGCTAAGCGCGGATAGCAGGATGCGGCGGTAAAGCGGCGCGCGTTGCGACAGGAATGGGCGCGCAAATGGTGCGGATAGGGGGAAGATGGATGAGGGTGGCTGGGGAATGTTGAGAGTGCGGAGCAAAATGGGGAAAGGGGATTTGTGCGAAACTTGCGAAAATGGATACGCAAAGCTGTTTGAATTTCGTCAACTGAGCCGTCAATAACCTCGCTTACACCCACGTGGCACGTCCAGCGCACTTACAGATGTCGGAGCTGCCAATCGTCACGGCCCACCGTCAACACAACCAGCAAAGCCACCCTATTCGGGAAAAGATCATGCAGGGGCCGAGCAGTGCCAGAGGGGTGATCGACCAAGGGCCGTCAGGCCCGAAAATTACCAAACCGCTGCACAAAAAGATATTAACAGAAAGATCTCGTTTATTGCACGTAATTTGTTACTAGTGGCATGCACTGGCTCGCATTTTCGCTCGCGTGTCGTTTAGCGAGCCGACTCTGCTGGGAACTAGGGCAGCAAAAAATAAAACTAAAACCCATAGGGAATCTGGATGCAGTTTCGGGATGGATCAACCCTAAAAAAGGGGACCTTCCTGGTATTTAGGGTTGATGCCTCCCGAGGCGCATCCGTTTCCGAATGGGTAATATTTTTTTTACTGTGCGTTTTCGATCGCGTTGGTGATATGTATCACCCATAATAAAATATGTTGTTACGTACAGCTGATGCTCACCCCATGCACGCGAAATTGCCATGCACTGGATGGAAACGCTGCCCCCGAACATGAAACCCCCGCTTGCTGCTCCCACAGTACAAGCACCCGGGGTGGCAGGAAACAGTGCGCGCGACTCGGACAGTTTATCACGTGCAGTTCCGAACAACCAACGCCAACCCTGCTGTGCCCCGTTTCCAGGCCAGGAGCCTGCACTGCGAAAGTGAGTGGACGAAACGAACGAGGCCTCGTGAACGCAATCGCCAATCCACCCCGCCACCTAGGCACGGATCATTGTGCGTGTAACAGACATCGTGGGCAAATTCACGATCCCACGTGTAATCTGCCTGTGCGGGGTACAAGCGTTATTGTAGCCAGGCATTGTTCTCATACACCACGTCAGACAATTGAACGTAAGGTTACCAACCCCCAACGTCAAATGTGCAAGCCAGGTGCATGGAACGAACTCCAACCACACGTACAGTTCCAAGCCCCAAAGAACAGACCCCAACCTTGTCCCAGGTGAATTCGAAGTGAGGATAAAATGTTAACAACAATTTCACTAAGACAGTTAGTTCACTCACCTCATCCTGACACAATGCCGCGATTTAATCGACGGGAACAGCTGCCGCTCCACATCAAGCGCGCCATTTGCGCGCACCACCTCGAACACCCCGTCCTGCGCCATGTCGACCTAGCTCGATGGTGTTTCTCCCAGTACGGGTTGCGCCCGGATCGCTCTACGATCGGCCGCATCCTAAAAACCGCCGAGCGATGGGATGTGACGTCCGACGGCGCCAACCCGGTGCGCCGTCGGGCAGGCGCCTGGCCAGAGCTGGAGCAGGCCATGGGGCGGTGGATAGCAAACGCAGGACCCGCCGGTGTGCCCCTCACACTCCAAACCATCCGCGACCATGTCGCGGCGATGGCCAGGAACATGGGCATTCCGCCCACCTTCCGATGCTCGATCGGCTGGGTGCGCCGTGCATTGCGGCGCCAGGGCGTGAGATGCCGTGCGGCACAGGGCGAGGCCGCCAGCGCAGATATGGCGGCCGTGCGCGACGCCCGTGAGAAGATGCCGCGACTCCTCACGCAGCTCGGCGTCGCCCCGCGGGACACCTTCAACCTCGACGAGACTGCTCTCTGGCTGTCGGTGCTTCCGCGGCGCACGTACAGCAGCGGCCGCATACCAGGCCGCAAGGTCTCGAAGGAGCGATTGACCGTCGCATTCCTCGTGAATGCGGACGGTAGCCATGCATTCCGGCCGCTTGTGATAAGCAAGGCGAAGAGGCCGCATGACTTCCGGCCCGACTATGACCCTGAGGCGCTATGCTACTGGCGCCATAACGCCAAAGGCTGGATGACCTCGCCTGTAAGCATATTTGCGTGGAATGTGCACCTTTTTGACTCTCATTGCCATTGTTCGCAATTTTGTCATGTGTTTGTTCTCACGATGATGCCGACCGTGTCCCATTTTTCCATGCCATCCCGTCCAACAGTTATTGACGCATTTCATTACTCATCTCAACGCGGCGATGTTTGCCGAGGGTCGCAAAATAGTGGTGCTGCTGGACAACGCGAGCAGCCACATGCTGCGCGCCGTAGATGCATGGAGCGAGATCGTGTGCGGCGTCAGGACCACGTGCATGAGCCACGTGCGGCTTGTCTTCCTGCCGCCCAATACCACGGCATTCACTCAGCCGCTTGACCAGGGCATAATCGCCACCGCGAAGGCCCGCTACCGCCAGCATTGGCTGCGGGCCTTCTCGGGTTTATGGAACGCCGACGGAGCGACTTCCGCGGTCGCTCAATTCCGGCCGAATCTGCGAGATGTGCTCGAGTGGCTGTCGGAGTCGTGGACCTCCGTCGGCGCGCGCACCATTCAACGATGTTGGTGGCGCACGGGGTGTCTTCCCCTCTCGTGGTCACTGGAGCTGCCGCACGTGCATGACGACGAGCCCATCCCCGCAGCTTATCCCGACATCGAACTCGACGATGACATCGATGATGTCGGGACGCTTATTAACACGCTCGACCTCGGGAATGCGGCAATGACGGCGGCGGAATACGTCGCCATCGACGACGCGGAGCCCACGTGTGCGGAAGGCACGGCACACCCGCCCGTGACAGAGGAGGAGATGCGCTCGGAGGTGGAGCTCTGGCAGGCGCCGACGACCATGCAGGCCGTTTACGACGACGCCGACCCCGTGTGCCGTGAAGCGCACCGCACTGCTCGTGCGGCGTGCGAGATGCTCATCGGCTACGCCCGGGCCACCCGCATCACTCCGCGCGATCTGTGCGCTCTTTTCGACATCCGCAATCCAATCATAATCGCGCGGATGGAGCGGGCGAGCCCGGGATTCAATCTCAACGTGGCGCCGCAGCCCGTACCCTCCCCCGGCGCAACCCCCACTCCCGAGACACCTCGTCCGCGGGGCCGTGTGCTGCCCGACTGGATGACCCGCCAGTCCCGCCGTCAGCAGCTGCTTGATGCCGGGGTGGGCGCCGTGATGGACGGCTATGTGGATGCAGCGGAATGGATGCGTCTGTGAGAGGGGGTGGAGCAGCCAGAGCAAAGTGTCGAGTGAATTTTGCAGGGCCCCAGTGATAAAACATTGTGCCCATTTCAGTGTGTTTCGTTTAGTGTGTTGTGTTGCTATGGGGGGCCAGGTGGGAGTTGTTGATTGGATGTCTATGTTGTGTGTTAGTTGTTTCTCACCTCGAGGAACAATTGATGTGCACGCCTGATTCATTACTGTAGGGGTCGTGTAGTAACATTGAACACACGAGAGAGACAAGCATGGCAACCCCCCCCTGTTACAAAACAAACAAAAGGTGAGGTAACCATATGCGGGTTAGAGGCACGGGATACGCGTGACGAAACGAACGAACCTCTGGCGAAATGATGTTTAGCTTATAGTCCCAGAGCACAAGGCAACCGGGAGGGGCTCTAACGAGCATCAGGTGTACTCACGATTTGACACGCCTAATTTTAATTCCAGAACAAGGCGACGCGCGCGCTGTAGTTGACGGCGGTCAAAACCCTTATTGAAGAAGTTTTACATGCAATTCGGTTTCTTCAGCAATTCTCAACTCACGGTTCGGCTTGTTCGCCCAGCCGTGTGGGCAGCTCCGGGTTGAAATCCTACGGTCGAGATTTTCCGGTCCTACTTTGATCACCCCTCTGGCACTGTTCGGCCCCAATATGATCATTTCCCACCCTATTCGTCGGCGCTAGCGCCAGTCCCCGTGACTGGGATCCTCGCTTTATTTCAACAAAACATTGGATTGGTCGAGTCGCGGCAATTTTGAGACCAGCTCGCACATAAATTCCTCAAATTCGTCTCTAGAATTTTACAAGTTTCTCTGCTCTCACAACACTTCCGTTCTCGTATCCACTTCCATGGCTTCCACAGTCTTATCGCATGGCACGCACGCATTGCTAACGAAGTCTAGCATTCCAAGGAACTTTAAGTCTCAAATAGAAAAAACGTGGGTCATCACGCCACTAAATCTGGGTAGCCGCCACCCGGTGAAATTTCAAAAGAACGCAAGTCCGGTCATGGCAGCCGTCAGCACCGGAAAGGAGGAAGTCGCCGCACCATGTGAAACGGCTGAACACTCTGAACAGATTGATGTCAAGCCCACAGAAGTAGTGATTTTTCAGGTCGGATAAATTGAAAGCATCGCCTGTTGCTCGTTCAAAAACGTTTCCTCAATCGTTTCTCTAACTTCATTTCCGCGTCATTCTCAGGGATTCAACTGGGAATCGTGCAACTGCAACGAAGGATGGTACCAGCGACTCATGGACCTGCCAGGAGAGCTATCCGCAGCGGGAATTACGGACGTCTGGCTACCACCTCCCAGCAAGTCAGTGGCTCCTCAAGGTGAGCAACGAGTCAGTGACCTTACTTGCCAGCGCTTCGCGAAGCATCTCACACCCGATATACCTACCTGCAGGATACATGCCGAGCCAGCTGTACAACCTTGACGAGTCCCATTACGGGAGCGAGGAAGAACTGAAGGAGCTGATCGGACGCTTTCACGGAGCGGGCGTGAGATGCATCGCGGACATCGTGATCAACCACCGGTGCGGCGACAAGCAGGACGAGCACGGCTGCTGGACCATCTTCGAAGGCGGCACGCCCGACGACCGCCTCGACTGGGGGCCTTGGGCCATCACGCAGGGCGACTCGCCCTTCGGCGGCCATGGCCGTCCTGACACTGGCGAGGATTTCCCGGCGGCTCCTGACATCGACCACACGAACGAGCGCGTGCAGCGCGAGCTGACGGAGTGGATGCTGTGGCTCAAGAACGACGTCGGCTTCGACGGCTGGCGGTTCGACTTCGCCAAAGGATTCGCAGGCGAGTTCGTGGGGAAGTACTGCGACGCGACGTCGCCCGCATTCTCCGTGGGGGAGCTGTGGACGACGATGAACTACGACGGCGAGAAGCCGGACTACAACCAGGACAGCCACCGGCAGCAGCTGGTGGACTGGGTGGACGCCACTGACGGCCGCTCCACCGCCTTCGACTTCACCACCAAAGGCATCCTGCAGGAGGCCGTTCAGGGCGAGCTGTGGCGCCTCCGAGACCCCAACAACAAGCCTGCTGGTGGGTGGGTGGAAGAGAGGTGTTGCTGCTGAATGTGGATGAGAGGTGTCGTTCTGGATGAGTCTCTAACCGTGTGAATGTGGTGTGCAGGGATGATTGGGTACTGGCCCAGTCGAGCAGTGACGTTCATTGACAACCATGACACCGGCTCCACGCAAGGCCACTGGCCCTTCCCTCAAGACAAAGTGATGCAGGGCTATGCGTACATCCTCACGCACCCAGGCATCCCTTGCGTGGTGAGTATCTCATCTCAAGGTACCACAGCAACGTGTATTTTGACAAGGTGGAAAGAACTAATGGCCTGACGCAATGATTCGTCGTGTGCTGCAGTTTTACGACCACTACTACGAGTGGGGCCACAAGGAGGCCATCAACGCGCTGCTGGCCATCAGAAAGCGCAGCGGGGTGCACTCCAAGAGCAAGTGCAGCATCATCACTGCAGAGGACGATCTCTATCTGGCTGACATCGACGGCAGGCTGGTTGTTAAGATAGGCCCGCGGTATGACATTGGGGACATGGCTCCCAACGAGACAGAATTCCAAGTGGCTGCATCCGGAGATGGCTATTGTGTTTGGGAAAGATTGCAGCCGGAGGCAGGTCATGACAAAGCAAAGCAACACCATGAGTATAAATAGGGATGTTTATACATGTGAATAAGGCTTTGTGTGACCTATCCTGTACATGCACGAACATCAATCCATCATGAGCAACCTCGCATAGCTATGGCATGTTGGAAGCGAGCCACCAGAGCATGTTGGTCTTGGAGTTGCCATCATCAAAAGCACCTAGAGCAGCAATGTTCGCCCTGGCCCCTTGCGGGTCGTACAGCGCTTGCAGCGCCCACGCAAAGCCACGCCACTCGTCCGTGGCGGCACCGCTCAGCACGGGTTGTGCCCACTCCACGAGCTGCTTAGCAAACTCAGGGTCGGGGAAGAGGTGCTTGAGGAAGGGCGAGACGGGCAGCACCTGGATGCCCACGCGCTTCTCCATGTCCGCCGGCGGGGCGAACCACAGCGCGGCGTCGCGCTTGGTGGACCACAGCACGCCCACCACGCGGTTGCCGTCCGCAAACACCGCCTCGTAGCCGGGTGAGAGGGAGGGGTCCGGATTGGACGAGGCGAGCGGCACGTGCATGAGGGTCTGCCCGGCGAGGGCCTCCACGGCTGCGAGCGTGGCGCCCAGCGTGGCGAGCGGCTGGTCGCCCAACACGGAGGCCAGCAGCGCCCCCACGCAGTATGCATTGACCGCCTCGCTAAAGCTCTCCTGGTTGCGCCCGTCGCCGAATTCAAACAGCCCGCTGGCCCACGAGTGCAGCGCGTACGCATCGAAGTGCCGCAGCCTTGGGAATGCCGCGGTACGCTCCGGCGACATGTAGTCCGCCATGAGGTCCTTGAGCGCCGCACCGTACTGGTCGCGCCATGCAGAATCAAACTGGGCAAAGGTGGCAGCGTTGTAGATGAAGTAGCCGTAGTGAAAGTGGTGGTCGTTGTACATGCCCGCCCCATATTCCGCCCCCTGGTCACGCGACCCCGCCTCACTCACCACGCCGCCCCAAGTGGGATCATACAGCAGGCGGTTACCAGGGAAGGTGCCATCCAGCCACGCGGAGAGCTCGGTTCGCAGGGGCGGCAGCACGGCGGCCAGGCTGTCCTCGTCTTCCACCTGTTTCGCAACGAGTGCCAGGCGGGCGGCACGCGCAGCTGCCTTGCCGAAGGAGTAGGTGGAGGTGGAGGAGAGGGGCGGCAGCGCTGCCACATCCTGCTTGAGGCTGGCCCTGAGCTCGTCCAGCAGCTGTGCGTCGGACGAGAGGGGCCCCGCTTCCCATGTGGACGCTTTTGAGTCGACTCAAAAGCGGACGAGAGGGGCCCCGCTTCCCATGTGGACGGGCGATTGGGCACGCTGAGGCGCCACACGGCCCCCTGCATGCCCACCGCCTGGCCGTCGATGCTGGGGTAGGCCAGCACTGATGCATCCGGCACGGACGCAGCTCGCACGGACGACCCCCGTGCACTGCCTCGTGCAATGGAGGGGTGGGCAGCGGCGGGGTTGTGGTGGCCGCGGAGGGCGCCCATGACGCCGGAAGGGGAGCCGCTGTGGCGACGGCGGAGGGCGGAGGCAGTGGAGAGGCTGTGCGCGCTCACTTCCATGCGCCGGTGCCCTGCTCGTTGGGGAAAGAGGGAAGAGGGGAAAGAGGGAGAAGGGATTTAGCTTGACGGACAGATGATGAGGGCTTCCTAGGTGACACAGCAGCACACATGGTGACACACATGGCAGCACGCCCCTACTCACTTGGCAGCGAGAGCATGAGCAGCGGCGCCTCGGTGTCACCGTCAGCCAGGTCGCGCCAGTGCTGGGTGCGCCAGGTGTACTCGATGGAGAACTCGCCCACGTGCGCGCTGCCCCCCACCGGCACCGTGGGCACGTGCGCGTCCAGCACCGCCTCCTCGTCCTGCGGGGAGGTCCCGGGCAGCAGCGCCACGCGCATGGTCCCCGTGAAGGGCACGTCCGCCACCAGCGCTGCCACGTCTGGTGTAGGCGCAGGGGATTGGGGGGACACGCGCGCAAGGAGGAGGTGAGTACGGGGAGTGAGCAAGTGGAGGGGGGAAATCGTAAGAATTATGGCGAGCGAGACACGGGAATGGGGCTGGTTCCAGAGGGGGAGGGGGGGACGGCGGCAGGCGCTGGGTGGCGAAGGGGCGTGGATGGCGCGGAGGGCTGACCTGGCCGTTGTTGAGCGCAACGCGGTACTTGCTGCTGTCGCTGCTGGCCTCCACTCCCGTGATGGCGTGGATCGTCGTCAGCATGGGCGTCGCTGGGGGGCCGCCCGGGGGGAATATGAACGTGAGGAAGGGCGACCCGCGCACCAGGGGGACCTCGAGCGCGGGGGGATCAGAGGGCGCGGAGGAGGGCTGGCGGAAGGAGAGGGTGGCGGAGAGGTCGTCGTAGGCGGAGAGCTGGTGCGGGGGGAGGCCCTGCAGCGTGGAGAGCATGAGCGCGGTGACGAACGCCTGCACGATGTACCCGGGTTGCGGGTCGCGCACCGGCAGCCCCCACGCGACGCGCCCCTCCGCGCTCTGCACCATGTACGGCGTGACGAGCTCGGGGCTGCTGCCCTGCCCCAGCACGAAGTTCTGCCACGGCGCGTTCGTTGGGTACGGCGCCTGGGGTCGGGGGAACGGAACGATGGGCGGAGGAGGGGGAAGAAAGCACGGGGTGCGGAGATGAGCAAGGCGCTGGCAGAAGGAACAGCCTCCGAGTTCGAGAGGGCACTGCAGGCGGAGAGTGCGCCCAGATGGGGGAAGAGCGGAGAGAGCATGCAGATGGGTGAAGAGCGGAGAGAGCATGCAGATGGGGGAAGAGCGGAGAGAGCATGCAGATTGGGGAAGCGGAGAGCGCGCGCCGACTGGGGAGTGCTGGAAAACTCACGGTGAGGTTGGCGGACCAAAGGGCGGAGGGCGCGGGAGCCACAGTGGAGGAGAGCGCGGGGAAGGCCGCCGACGCCATGGCGGCGGGGAGGAGACGCGCACGGAGTGGGGCCGGGATGACAGGAACGAGTTTTGCGGGGATGGGGAGACCAGGCGGCACGCTGGGGGGCTGGCTGCGGTGAGGCGTGAGGCGTGAAGGTCAGTGTAGGCGCTGAACTGGTGCTGCTGGAAGGCGAATGTCTGTTGCGTCAGTGATTGTTCGTAGACTTCTGTAATCTCGGGAGCTACTAAATAGCTCGCTATCTTAGCAGCAGCGCTTGCGTCCTGGCCGTTAGACGTCGCGTCGCGCGATGGCAGTGAAGTCATCGCGCCTGACTCTGTGTGGTGGCGGCGTACTTGCCTTGTGCGAACCGTGGGGCCCGTGGCACGCGAATTAGTTGGACACGCGACGCTTGAGTCCGCCACACTGCTAGAACACCGCCGCGGGCTCTCACTCTAGTCGTTTTGCTCGAGTACATTGGTCGTCGACCAGTTCACTGTAATGCGGCAACGGCACAGCCATGGCTGATGGAAGCCACCTGCACTGGTCCAACTCTTCGCCATCCCCACCTTCACACTTAGCGCGTGTAGTGCAAGGTTGGAATCGGAATGGCACTGGAGCTCGCCTTGCTGTTACCCTCTTCCAGCAAGGCAATGTTGCGGCCGAGACAATGCATGCGCGATGTTCAAATTGGATGTCAACAACGAATACGAAAACTAACTGGAACGTCGCTAGTCTCGCAAGCACTTTGTTCTTAGAGGTTCAGTGAATGTACGAACATGCAGATGAAGTTGAGACGGTCCGTACGAATACCCAAACGGTACTGGAATTTTATACCTCGTTATAAAGCAGCTGCGCTCCACTAAAAGCCAACAATAGAAATGTCAAGTTACAATGTTGAATATTGAGAGTACAGCAATTGTCTAACTCTGTAGTAGTCGTCACACAGCGAGCCTTCGAGTACAAGCCTGTGGTCTGGGACCTGCACAAACATCACAATCACCGGTTAGTGGGAATGGAGTAGGTGGTGCTTCTAGTGGAAACAGTGGGGCAAGTTCACCTTTCTTAGAGCGAGAGAATCGCCACACTTGAGAACAGCAGATCCTGCTGTTGCTACAGGAACCGACTCAACGAACCCAGCCTGAATCAAGAAAGCACAGGGAAGACAACGAGATGTAGCGGTAAAAAGGTTAAGAGTGCACCCACAACAACGATTGGCATCACATTGAAGGATGGACCTTGGCTATGCAACATGCAGGACAAGGGTACCTGGAGTCCCTGAGCTTGCAGCAGCACTTTGAATTCCGAGAGCTTCACATCACCCACCATCACCGCCCGCCGCTTGGCCTCCTCCCCATCCCCCTCCAGCGGCACCAGCTCCATCAGCGCCCGTGCCCCCCCTCCACCCACCCCTCTCCCCTCCACTCCCACCCCTCCCTCTCCACCTTCCCCCTGCCCCTTCTCCTCCCCCTCTGCCCCTTGGCCTCCTGCTCCTGACCCAGAGGGTGCGGGGAGAGGGGGCCCTGTGATGCGCGGCAGCAGGGAGAGCGAGGCGGAGGGTGGCGCGCAGGAGGAGGGGTGCAGGCGGCCCTCCACGAATGCCACCTCGTAGTCGTCTCGTAGCTGGAGGGAGACGGGGGAAGACAGAGGGGAGCGTACAGGCATTGGGGTAGGGAAAAAATGATCAGAACATTCATGCAGTATGTGCTTGGGCATGTGTGCCTGTGAGATGTTCTAGGTAGTGGGAAAAAATGGTCAGCACATCCATGCATGTGCGTGCATGAGGTACTGTGCACATGCAGTGGTAGCACAGTGCAAGAGCACGAGTGAGCGGCCAGGCAGTGGTGTGCATACCTTGTGGAATGGCAGCCCCCTCAGCAGGTCGTCACTCAGCTTCACCTGCGCTCCAGCACACATGGCGCAGAGGCACATGGCAGCACAGGCGAGGGGGCGGAAGAAACAAAGGATGAGGGCATGCAACAGCCATATCCTACCCACCTTGCACCCACGTACCTATGCATGCTACTTACCATGTCACCATGCAACAACCTACCACCACCACACCCTTCAACACATTGCTCCTATCTGCCACACTCCCCCTCCCCCCCTTCCTCCACAACCCCTGTCCTGTGGCACGTGGGTCTCACGCGGAAGGTGGCGAGGTGGGGAGTGAGGTCGATGCTCTCGCCTGCACGGGGCGCCATGCAGTCGCTGCAGATGCCCGCCTGCTGCATGGCGGCCGTGCCCTCCTCCGTGCCGTGCACGACTACCTGCCATCGCACCGCCCTCCACAGGGCGCATGGGTGGGGGAGAAGGTAAGGGGTTACCCCGTGGGGAAAGGGCTAGACGACGGAACAAGAGGTTTCATCAAGACACCCAAAGCTGGAAATACGAGCAGGCGGGGATACAAGCATGCGGAGGGATCAACAGGGAAAAGGGGGAAGAGGAGGCGGGGTGGGAAGGGCGACGCACGAGGGAGAGGGGGTGGGTGTGGGCGAGCATGGTGCGCAGGGAGCGGCCGTCTGCCAGCCCCTCATAGTCGATGGAGCGGATGGCGCAGTTGACGTGCACGGTGACGTGCTCCACGCGCACGCGGCTGGGCCTCTCCAGCCCCGCCAGCACGTCCTCCGCCTCCGCCAGCGCCGCCATGTCCACCCCCGCCGCCTCCATGGCGCTCACCGTTGGCTGCAAGCAGGGGGAGGGGCGGGGGAGAGGTGGGGAGAAGGGTGGTAGGGGGGTAGAGAGAATGGGAGTGGGAAGAGCTTGTGGGATGAGCAACTACGTATGCAGTTGATGTGGACATGATCAGAATAATGCTGCTCGCTGCTGTGCTGACATGGCAGCGAACCTGTGTGCTCCACTCACTGCGTCTCATCCTCCATACCGCCCATCACAACAACTACACCCAACTCACCGCCTCCTCTCAATTCCTCAACCGCATGCCCCACCCCACACCCACATCCCCATGTGTGGGCACTGGGCAACTCCACCCCCCCCACTGACCCGCATGGGGCCGCGCATGTGTTCGACCACAGCGGCCAGGCCATCGGCGTCCACCACCTCGCCGTACTCGTCGCACCGCCCCCCGCCCCCCGCGCCCTCACTCCACGGGAACACCGGCCCTGCCACCCACCCCTCGCGGTGCTGTGGCCGTGGGCCGGCGTGGCGGGGGAGAGTGCGGGGGAAGGGTGCGAGGGGCAGCGGAGAGAAGCCCTCACAGAAGACGTCTGATGGAGGGCGCTGGGCCAAGGGGGAAGGCTCTGGTGGTGGGGGGAAGGTGGGGGAGAGAGGGCGAATGGTGGTGAATGATTTCACTGCCAGATGGTGCCAAGGAAGGAAGTAGGGCGGGCACATGCACGCACTCACAGCAGCTGCTCTCACACGCCCATCAACCCACCTGCGTCATCCCCATCCAGCACCTCCCCATCAGCCTCCTCCTTCGCCTCCCCCTTCTCCCCTCCCTCGCCCTCCCTCTCCCCCTCCCCCTCCTCCCCGTCCCCCTGCCCGTCGTCCCCCTCGTCCCCCCTAGCAGCATCCATGGCGGCCTGCTGCTGCTGGCGCTGCTGCTCCTCGTACGCCCTTAGCTCCTCGCCCTCCAGCGGCACGCGCTCACTCATGCTCACACTCACCACTGGGAACCGCACGTCCTGTGTGTTGTGGGGGGGGAGAGGGGATGGGGAGAGTAGGGAGGTGTCTTGAGAATAGGACTGAGAGCGGGCAGGGGGGAGAAAGGAGTAACAGGTGTGACGGGAAGGAAGGAGGGTCGCCAGGCGCAATGGAGGCGGGCAGGCAGCAGATGGGGCGGGCGAGCATGAGAGCATCGGGCCATCCACGTGGCCGCGCACCCACGTTGGTCTGCAGCGTGTGCGCCAGGGAGCTAGGCGGGGCACGCGAGGTGAAGAGCAGCGTGTTGCGCAGGTCGGGCGCCCAGCGCACAAAGAGCGCTCGAGCAAAGCCCGCCTCGAGACTGGCGAGCGACGCCAGCACGACCTTGGGGCCCGGCACCTCCTCCACCTCCTCCACACTGTGGCACAGCCGGATGTACCTGCGCACAGGGGGGGACGAGGGGGTACCGTGGAGAGAAAGTGGTCGGGGAGAAGGGGGTTGGGGAGAGAAGGGGAGATGGAGGCGCGGAGAGGAGCATGTTGCGGGAAAAAAAAGAAGATTGTGCATGCACTGCTGGTGCGGACTGAATCACAGGAAAGAAATATGACAATGTTGAGGGAATAAAAGGGGAGGCTAGGGGGGTGAGATGGGCTTATAGGGGCGAGGGCGGTAGTGGGGCACTTGAAGTTGAAGGGCGAGGTGCGTTGGGCGTCGAAGTGGCGAGCAGTGGAGGGGTTGAGCCATTCGAGCATGGCCTTGGCGCCCTCCACCATGCTGTAGCTCTCCCCCGTCGCCACCACCACCGGCGCCTCCCACCCCTGCGCCGCCCACAGCTGCTCCAAGTGCACGAGCAGCTCCAGCACGCGCCCGCCCGTGTCGACGGGCATGAGCACGCTGCCGCCCTCGCCCACCGTGCTGCTGATCGCCTCTGCCAGCTGCTGGTCGCGCGCCTTGCGCTTCACCGGCGGCACCAGCGCCGTGGCCGCGTCCGCGATGAGCACGGCGGGGCGCACCACGGCCGTGTCCAGCACCGCGCGCCCCAGTATGCGCTCCTCCCTGCCATGGCGCCCGGGGATGGGGGGGAATGTGTGAGCACCCATACCGCACATGCTTTGCAAATGCGGAAAGGGGACCCATGCTGGGGCAGAAAGCATGTATTGCATGTGGTAGACAAGCGAGGGGCATGGCAAGCGAGGAGGGTGGGAAGCGAGGGTGTTGAGTGGTTGCAGCAGGGCGCACCTGTGGTTGAACCCCACGGCGTACACGAGGTCCTCCGTGTCCACGGATATCCGCCATATCGTGCCGCCCAGCAGGTGCCCCGCCGCCAGCGGCGTCACGCTCACGCCGTCGCGCTCGTCGCCCACGGCGTGCGGCTGCGCGAACTTGAGGCGCACGGCGCCGTCAAACGCGGCGTCCACGTCGTCCAGCGAGAACAGGGCGAAGTCGCCGGCGCTGCGCCGCGCGAGGAACTGGTCGTATAGCATCAGCTGCGCCAGCCGCGCCACCGGCACCGTGCAGTACACGGGCGCACGCAGCCCCAGCTGCGCGTACGCGTACGGCAGCGCGCCCGCGTGCTCCATGTCGGGATGCGAGAGCAGCACGGCGTGGATCGCGGGCGCGACGGCGCGCAGCGGCTCGAGAAGGTCCGTGTCGAGGAGGTCGGTCCAGCCGCAGTCCAGCAGCAGGTGCAGGCGGCCGAGCCGCAGGTGGTAGCACAGCGGCTCGTCGGCGTGCGCGCCGTACAGCGGAGTGAACACCACTCCGCCGCTCGGCCTCGCGCGCGCTGTTCCTGCGCCGTCCGCGACGAGGGGCGCAGAGGGCACGCCAGGGTCTAAAGACTCCATCGGCGCGGGTTCCATACGGCGGAAAGACGGTAATATGCGATGCGCAAAGGTGGCTCTGTTGCTCGTGCGGTACGACTGCGGAGGAACGGTCACAGCGATAGGGTGATAAAGTCAAGGAATTGTGGCCATGGCCGTTCCCGTGCGATCAGCCAGCTACGTGCGAGAGAAGGTGCAAAGTGAGGCCTGACTGGGTGCTGCGGGATTGGGATGGTAAGTGACGAATCAAGAGTGTAGGTCACCCAGCTCACACAGGGAGGCGCCAAAAATTGTTGTGTCCCTACTGTCATCTTGAGCGTCTGTTGACTTGCCAGTTAGAAAGGTCAGGGTCACACACAAGCCTCGTGACATCTGCGAGCAGAGGGCGGTTAGAAAAGCATCGCGTTCCACTGTTGTGCACCTGTCAACGCCACCTGTCAACGCCACGGCCCCGTGAGACTGTGCGCCCTTGTAACCCGCCCAACAGCTGGTTGCGCTCGTTGCGCGCCACGGGAGCACAACTAGTTGCGCAACAATGAGTAGCGAGCGAGATTGTCTTAGCGGACACTCGCGCGACAGCAGCGAGGGGTGCGGCGCAGCACCGGAGGAGGTGCAGCTGCGCGCGGGGCTGTCGGGACAGCGCGCGCACGATGGTACCGCGTGGCCTGCACACGCCCTTGCGTGGCCGTCTCCGCTGCCATCACATGCGCCGCCGCACGCACCGGCGCAGCCGCAGACGCTGTTGAGCAGCCATGCGCGCGGACAGATGCCCCCGAGTCAGGTGGGCCAACTCCAGGCCACCCACGGCGCAGAGAGCGCGAGAGGCGGGATAGTGCCAGGGATATCTGGCCGCAGCGGCCCGTCGCTGCCGTTGCTGGCCTTCCAACCGCCCCTCACTTTCCGCGGCAGTGCCGCGCATCCCATACCGTACTACCCCGCGCCCTTTCCGTCAATCCCGCCAAACTCGCCCTACCCGTTGGTCAACGGGCCCCCCGGTTCCTTTTCCCCGTACGTGCTGCAGCACACCATCCGCGCCCCTTGCGCCATCGTGGGATTTCGCGCGCCTCCTGTTGGCCCCGCCCCTCCTCTCGCGACGTCCCCCTTCCTCTCCGCGTCGAGCGCAGCCCCCTGTGCGCGCCCCTCTCACCATCCGCCAGCGCCGCCAACAGCCGTCTCTCTGGACGCCTTGTCACACGCGCAGGAGGCGAGCGGAACGGCAGCGGCAGCAGTTGGAAATGGCAGCCACTGCTCACCCCACACGTCCGCAGAGGGTTCTGGCGCTAACGCCTCTGCTGCTCCTCCCAGAGACGCACAACAGCCACGCGCTGCTGCTGCTGCTGCTGCTGCTGCTGCTCGCGGTGGTGGCCATGGAGGTGGTGGTGGTGTTGCTGCTGCTGGTGGTGATGGTGATGGTGATGGTGCAGGAAGCGCTTCCAGGGATCAACGCCCTCAGGGACGGAGGCAGAGGGGGAGGGAGGGGCGGTGGGGACGAATAGACAGAGGGCAGAGCGGGGCAGGGTGTGCATCGGGCGGCCAGCAGGTGGGGGGAGAGCAAGGCGGGGTGCTGGGGGAGAGAGGGCAGCGGAAGCGGGAGTGCGTGTATGGGGGCAGGGGAACAGGGGGCAGCGGGAGCACGAGCAGTGCGTGCAGCAGCGGGGGCACCCCGGGGAGTGGCGCGTCCGCAGCAGCATCTAAGCAGAAAGATGGGGCGAAGGCGGGGGGCGGGCGGAAGAAGGGTACGGGGAGTGAGGAGGAGCAGCGTTTGCGGCAGGCGGAGAAGAAGAAGCGGCGGCTGGAGAAGGCGCTGGCCACGGCGAACGCCCTCCGGAGCGAGCTGCTGGAGAAGCGCAAGCAGCGCCGCCGCGAGCAGGAGTTGTGGCTGGACCGCGCCGGACAGGCCCTGGCTGAGGCTGTTGCTTTACGGGTGCTGGTGGAGGAGGAGGAGGACGAGGATGGGGAGGAGGAGGAAGGGGGGGAGGAAGGGGAGGAGCGGGGGAAGGGAGTGGAGGAGGGCACAGGGAGGGAGGAGGACGACGAGGAAACAGAGAGAAGCAGCAGTGCTAGTGATAGCAGCAGTGGCAGCAGGGGAGGGAGCAGAAAAAGGGAAAGAGGCAGTGTGGGTAGTGTGGGTGGTGTGGGTAGTGTGGGTGGTGTGGGTAGTGTGGTGGCATCAGCAACATCAGGTGGGGGTGGGGGGGCAGTGGAGGGCGAGGGGGAGAGGGGGGCGAGCAGCAGTGCGAGTGTGCAGGGGCGTGGGGCAGCGGTGACAGGCGTAGGAGGTGGGCAGAAGGATGCGGGCGATGGGTGTGGTGCACTGGCGTGGGGCAGCATGTGCCTGAGGGACGGAGGTGCCCATCCAAAGGGGGTGGCGGCAAGTGATGGCGGGAGAGATCAGAGAGCAGAGCGGGCAGAGGGGGCAGGAGGGGGAGGCGGGGAGGTGTCAGAGTCGTCCCACAACTCGGTGCACTGGCACACGGGTAGGCAGACTGGGGTGGGAGAGGGCAGGGCGCGGTGGTTGGAGGATACGACCCAGAGAGGGAGTGATACAGTGCCGAGTGGGAAAGGGGCCTCGGGGAAGGCAGGCAGGCGGCTGTCACCAGCTGTTGCTCCCGTGGGCCCTGGCAGTGAGAGTGGGGGGACGGAGAGTGCTGGCGGTGGGAAGAGGGAGGGGGTCGGATGTAGGGAGAGGAGAGATGCTGAGGAGGACGAAGTGGAGGGAAGGCTGAGGGGCGCCCTGTTGGACCAGCTTGCTGTGAACCGCCACTCCCCTGCTGCCAGGCCCGCTGCTGCCTCCCCTGCAGCCAGCAATGGGGCAGGCCCAGCAGCACCAACCGCAGCAGCATCAGTCGTCGCAGCAGCACCAGACGCAGCAGCAGCGGCAGCCACAGTAGCAAGTGGTGAGTTGGGGGCAGGAAGGTGGGAAGGGGTTGGAAAGGTTGTGGAGTCAGGCAAGTCCAAGAGGTCTGGAGAGGCAGCAAGGTCCGGAGGGCGAGCAGGGACAGCAAGGTCAGCACGATCAGCAGGGCGAGGCGGGCCACGAGAAGGTGCGGAGCAGGAAGGCGAGGAGAGCAGCAAGGGGTGTGAGGGGGATGTTGGGCGGGCAGACGAGGCAGCAGCAGGTGGCAGGGCGAGGCAGGAGGCAACACACGGTGACACAGCAGATGCTCTCATCAGTCGCCTCCTCCTCCACCATCCCACCTCCTCCCCCTCTCCCCACTGCTCGCCGTCACTTGCGCTCGCCCCCTCCCCATTCACGCTCTTCACAGGCCTGCAGCTCTCAGAGCTGCATGTGGCTGTCAACAGCATCGCTGCCGAGCCTGCAGGTCCGGCAGCAGGCTTGGCAGCAGGAATTGGGGAGTGGAGTTTGAATGAGGGTTCGTTGATTCAACCACACAGGTCGAATCATGGAGCAAATCTTGCTGAAGGGGGACGGGAGGGGCCGGGAAGGGCAGGAGCTGGGTGTGAGGGGCGGAACATGGTGGGTGGTGTGGGTGTGGCAGCTGGGCTGCGTGATCATGGGAAGTTGGCGGCAGGGGGCAGCAGGGAGACGGGCGAGCAGGAGGAGGAGAAGGGGACTACGACCTGGCCAAGTGGAAGGGGGGCGCGGAAGAAGGAAGTGGGGGGAGGGCCTTTGAGGTTCAGGAACGTGGGCAGTGGTGGGAGGTGGATGGAGGCTGCGAGGGGGAGTGAGGTGGGGGCGGAAGAGAGGGAGATGGCAGCAGGCATGGCGGCGGTGCAGGCGGTGGCAGCAATGCGCATTGTGGAGGAGGCCAGGGCAGAGGCGCAAGCTGCTAGGCAAGCAGCACAGGAGGCTGGGGGGCGAGCACAGGTGGAGGATGGGGAGCAGGGCGTGCAAGGAGATGATGAGGTGAGGGAAGCACAGAGTGAGAAGCATCCTCGAGGGGGACGCGTGTTGCAGAGCATCTTTGTCGTCCCTGCCTCTTCCATATCCTCTCCACCCTAAAGCCTAAGCCTGTGCCCCTCTGTGTGTGTTCTGCCTCCTCCTAATGCAGAGTGAGGCAATGGTGGTGGAGGGGGGGCCGTGGGAGCTGAGGGCTCGGCTGCAGGAGACAGAGAGGCGGCTGCAAGAGAAGACAGCCCGCGTCTCAGAGCTGGAGAGAAGCCTGGAGGTGAGAGGGATAGAGACGAGTAGGTAGAGGACAATGGTTGGGAGTCAGGCCCCAGAGTGCAAGACAATCTCCTGATTCATGCCTCATTTCCCTGCTTCTCCTTGCTGCTGAACTTTACGCAACCCCTCCGTTCTGCCTTCTTGCTGCCATCATCCCGTGCCTGCTCATCCCCATCAGGAGATGACTCAGTATCTGCAGAACCTCAAGGCCATTCTGCCCGCTGTGCCCCTCGCTGCCGCTGCCTCACCACCTGCCTTGGGCCCGTCACTTATTGCCGTGCGTGGAGGGGCGGCAGGGGCAGGCGTGCAGGAGGGAGAGGTGGAGGGGCAGGGCATGATGGCACCAGAGGGCAGTGGAGGGGAGGGTAGCTGTGGCAGCACTCGCAGTAGATGGTAGCAATGGAGGTGTGGTGGCTCCACCTCATACCATGTCTCGGTGATGGTGACTTGGTATCGTCTTGTGGGTCGTCAATGCGTTCAAACATGCTATTGGTGGTTCCTTCTTCCGAATCTTCTTCAGCTTGGTGCAGTCCTGTTGTAGCCGAAATCTGGAATTAGTCATTATTAATGCAATAACAATACAAAGCAGCACCACTGATCCAGGCAAGTGGATACCAAACAACCTGCGTGCGTCGCCTGTTTAAAACGCGGGTGCGGTCAGGCCTGAATGTAGTCCTCCACCTGCTGTGGCTTGTGGCGGATGGCAAAGACGGAGCGAGCGAGTGAAGCCATGGCGGCACCGATGATGCCGGCATCATTCTTCATGGAGGCAGGCAGGATGGGCGTGCCCTTGGGCAGCTTCACCAGATGCAGCCACTGCTCGTGTGCATTGCTCACCCCCCCTCCCACAATCTGATGCCGCACACAGACGAACAAACACATCGATAGGAACAAG